AGGTTTCTGTAATCCATTTCCTGCTCTCCTGGGTTGAAATATAAATATGATAATACACGATTATCTTCATATCTTTTAAACTTTGTAAAAGAAAAGCAGCACTGTGAAACATTTTGGGATTGATTATTGCAGGAATGCAAGTTATAACTAGCGGATTTCAGACTTTAGCACTAAAATTCTCAGATTTCTTAGGCAAATTTTTTCTAACCATTTTGCAACAGTTAAAAAAATACCCTCAGAAATACAATAACACTAAGAAAAGGGCAATAAACTGGCATAAGATAGGACAAAGTGATCTGAGTGTGCATAACATCACAGTTTACTTGGATATTGGAAAGTGGTAAATAATTAAATAAATGCTATTTCTGCCATTGCTATCACAACTACCAGAAGTAATAATAATACAGACAGTATTATTAGTATTAATATTATCCTCTGGCCCACATGTTATTAGACACATTCTATTTTTAGAAAAGGAGACATAAAAATGTTATTCCCTACTGGTCCATATTTGAAACATACTAAATTAAAAAGCTCCCTGAACTCTCCAAGAGTGAATGTGCATTCACACCAGCTCTGTTTAGTCAGGTTTAATCAAATTGTAGTTTTTTTGCATGGAAAGTCAGATTTACTTTGGGAGGCATGAATGTGTAAGAGCTAAATCTGGTTCGCCGACAAACTTTGTGTATCTGTTTGATTAAAGTGAACTCTGGTGCGATTCAGACAGGAGACGCTCCAAAAGCAGGAAGTGAACTTCAGTGCAGGGCATTCTGGGTAAACAGAAATAAACCAAACGGCTGGTTTTGTGAATCAAGTGTCTTCTGATGAGGTTTTTGTGTCGTTTCCTTCAGTTGTTTCTCCTACAGCGCCACCACAGGTGAGGAGGGGAACAGCTTTCATAATTCGTTTGGTTGTCTGACAGTGCAGTGTTTAAGCAAACCCAAGTCTTTGTGGCTATCAGGTATGAAAACAACCTGAACTAAATGTTTGCTGTTTGCAATCATTTAAGATTCTCTCAAGATTCCCAGCTTGCTGCTGTTATCACCCCAACTTTGGTCATCATTGATGGGACGTTAAAGCTTTCAGAAATTTGTTTTGAAGTTGTTTTTGAAGATCTGTTTTGCTAATCAGCCCAGATATATTTTGGACTAATAATTGGGTGGCCTCTTATAATGACTGTTTTCTCTAATCTTTTGTAAAATGAACAAAGTTTTTTATTTTGAGAACTACTGACAACATGAGTCAAAATAATGAAAAAGATGCAGCGCTTTCAGACCTCAAATAATGCAACGAAAACAAATTCATGTTACTTCAGAAGCAACAATATCGGATTTTCTAGAGCGGAAAAACATTATCAGACAGTTCAGTCTTATGCAAAGACTGAACTTTCCATAAGTTCAGTCTTCTAAAGCCTTGAACCTTTCCAAGCTGTTTTTCTTAAGTTAAAAATAATAATTCCAACATTTTCACACATAAAACTCTGTCATTTTGAACTCCCAAACCCCCTGAATCAAGTCCACTCTCTGGCTGACCACTGGCTGTGACACTAAGATCATGTAAATATGCTCATGAACCCGGCCATGTCAGTGACCAAATGAGGGGCCAGGCCGAGGTCTTAATATGACAGCGTTGCTCTTTACAGCTCTGACAGCCCTGCAACCTCTGCACAGCTCAGGCAGCGAGGCCACGCTCCCTTAAGCAGCTTTCCATGACTGTCAGTCTGCAAGCTGCGTCGCTCCCAGCAAACTGCATGGACGGCGATGATAAAGTAGGATGACACAGCGCTTTAGGTGCAACTCCTGCGCTCCCTCAAAGGCTTGAATTTTCTGTTTGACAGCTAATGACACTTTATTTCTCAAGTGAATGCCGCATTTGTTTTGGACTGTTGAATTAAGCTCCTTATTCCACGTCAAATGCTAATTGCAAAGATGCTGTTTAAGTGATCAATAAGCTTAACTGTTGCTGAAGATTTCCAAGTCCTAATGAGCCAGTTTTACTGTTTCTGCTTCACATTTATGGATGGAGCGCCTTAGATAGACCGCCCACACACACACACACCGATAAACACAGCGGAGGCATTTGAGACATTCAGACTGTAACTCAGGGACACTGAGGACACACCAGCCGTCCAATTAGTGGACGAACAGCCATACATCCCCAGGCACAGCCACTCACTTCTTCATTCCAACAACTGGAAACAAACTGAAACATGTTCATCAGTGACCCTTTGTTTGGTAAACATTTCTGAAGATCAAATGGAGCATAAATCACAGTTATGCTTTTTGGGGGGTTTCCTAGTAACTGCCAAATTATAAGAAATCTGAGCAATGCGAAGCACAAAAAGACAGCAGATGGCAGCTGTGAATAAAATTTACATGAGATTGATGCTGGTGTATTTCTTCTAATAAGCTCAATGAAAATAAGTTAAGCAGAAATGATGCAGCAGCAGACAGGATGGGTGTTTAATCGAGCAGATGCAGAAGCAACTGACAGTCAGACTGAGACTGAGGATGTTTTCACAACAAACATTTTTTATATTTTCAGCTGCTGCACTGTCAAACAAACCAAACGCTTTGAAAAAACTGTTCCCCTCCTCGCCATTGGGGGCGCTAAACTAAGAGTCACTGAATGAAACAACACTCATTCTTTCGGTCACTATCCAAAGCTTGTCATCATAGATGAGTGTGGGAACGCAGATGGACCAGATTTCTCTTCACTGTGGTCATAACATGACAGAATGTGAAAAAGTTCAAAGGTTTGAATACTTTTTACAAGTTCCTGCAACTTGTCCATCACATCTAACCTTGTTCATTTTTATTTACCATCATTACTGTTTACCCAACTGTCAAATGCTGAAGCAGCTGCCAGTAACACATTAATTGGGACTCTGTATGTTGTTTAAAAACATAAATAATTTACATATTCACCACTGGTCTGCATCCAAACTGAACCATTACAACTCACTAATAAATCAATCATCCTATTGGAAGAAAGGAATGGAAATAAATGAGAATAAAAATATATCTGACACACAGCAGTTTGTGTGAACGTAACCTTATTGCAAAACTCCATTTGAGTTGAAATCCATATATGTATCTATATATATATTTATATATCAGCTGTGACAAAATGTTGTTTAGGTTGGTATCTACATTCAACATGGTTGAATAGATGTCTAACATTACATGCTAAATGTCAGGATGACGCCAATTCTCCACTCGAGTTTAATTAAGATAGAAGTGAAAAGAACACAATGAGTGAGGATTAAAAGAGAAACTCATTGATCTCAAAGTGGAGAGATTCACATGAAAAGCATTGATGTTTTTTTTCAAAAGGTTTTTGCACAAAAAGAACAGGAAACCGATTGTAATGACTCTGCAGGTCCTTTGCCTTCAGCTTTAATGGGAGACATTAACATCCACTCTGTGCAAAATTCACATTTACTTGTTTTTATACTTCAATTTGGGTCTCAGCTGCTTCTAAAACAACCTAAGAATTTAAAAAAACCCTCCCAGACATTAAGTTTCTTGGTGTCTGGAAAATGAGTCATTTCAAAAACCTTCTGAAAGTTCAGTCACATCCAAAGTTACCGAGCCTCTCCAGCCCGTTACCTAGCAAGCAGAATTTCAGCACCTTTGGTCAGCTGGTTTTACTGCTGGATGTGCTGCACAATGGCTACTGGAAAAGGAAAGAGTTTTATTGGTGACCTGTCGATTTACTATTCAGAAACCACTTGCTGCACAGCAAAAAACACAAAATCTTACCAGGAATTATTGTTTAGTGGAAACATCTTAGTACACTTTAAATAACTTGTAAATTTTCTGCAAGATATTGGAGCTTGTTTCAAATCAATTATTCCGTAATAATGATGAAAAAATACTAGTACCATTGGGTTATTATTTCAATTATAACAAGACATTTCTCCTATTTTATAACTGAACAATCTGCCAGTGGAACTATTACTTTTTTTATACACAAATATTGAGGAATAATTGACTTAATACAAGCTTCAATAGCTGTAAGGATTTGTGTTGATTTGAGTTTTTCTGTGTTTATTTTGTGTCGCTGTGTGTTTTGTGTTGTCCTGTCTACCCCATGTTTGCTCCCGGCTGTGTCTCATTCAGTGATTACCCTCTGTGTATTTAATGCCACCTGTGTTTCTGTGTCTTTGTCGGGTCCTTGTCGTACCAGTCTGTTTAATCCGTCTTGCTGTCCCATCTAGTCCGGTGCCAGATGTCTATTCGTTTGCCAGTTGCTATCAGTGTTGAGCCTTAGCCTTTCTGCTCAGCTGTGCTGCCTGGACTTCGGATTGTTTGTGCTTAATTTCATTATTAAATTAAGCCTCACCACCTCTACTTCTACAAATCATGACAATATCTTGCTAAAAACTATTTCTATGTTAGTTTTGTGTTATTTCAAATGCACTAAAACATTTTGCATTAGAAACTAGACACAAATATTTGGTAGGATTTTGTGTTTTTGCAATGTGCATTCTTGTTGGTTGTGCAGGAGGCTCTATTAATGCTTTTCAAAGCTGCACAGTTGTATAATTGAGTGTTTTTCTGCATTTGTTCAGGTCAGCTGCTAGCAATAGCTTATTTTGATTTAAATTGACAGGACACCCAAAAACAATTAATTCTGTAAGGAGCTCAAAATGGACTAAACTTTAATTATAATGATTTTGTGCAATAACATTTAATGAACATGTGTTTTTAGTGCACAGACCTAGCCTAGCCTGTTCAGGGAAGCATAACAGGTCACCTTTAATGAACACTGTTTAAAGACAGATGAACAAAGAGAGGGGAAAAAGCAGGGGAAGTGGCTGAGACGGGTTGGGGAGTGGTACTTTGAGTCATCAGTGATGCTCAGACCTTCACAGTATTATGCTGATCCCTCTCGCTCGCCCGCCTGCCCGCTCTCCCTCTCTCACTCTGAGCTTCTCGTTGTACATCAGCTAGACTCGGGTGCGTGTCCACAAGGATGAGGAGCGCACACGCTGCGTGACGGAGCGAGCCCTCGTCCACCTGGCTGCTCACGTGCGTGTCGGCGTTCAGGAGGAGGATTCAGTGTCGGTCTCACACTGGTCCCCTGCTCCCTCTTCTCTCCTTCTGTCTTTTCTGTTTTTATTTTTCCTCCCAGAGACTGGTCAGATCCTCTCCTCCGTGTCTGGCTCTCTACCTGGCCTCCATGAGTTTAATTGAGGACAAGCCATTCCTCCTTGGAAGGTAAGCAGCAGCGTCTGTTTCAAGAGCCGAACGGTGACTTTAGACATCAGGGATGTTGATTTATTTAATCTTTTTTGAGTTTCCTCATGTGGTTTTAAGAGGAAATCAAAATCCACATAACGACAATACAGCTGAGAGCACGGATTGTGTATAATTTTGGGGAATTTTCTGCGATTTGTGTCTGATTGGGATGAAAGTATTTCCTGAAGGGCAGCTTGTTCCCCAGTAAAGTGGGAGTCGGATTGTTCAGCCTGATGATTAAAGGAAGTCAGAAACCTGACAGAAGACTGTGGGATTAGAGACGAGGTGCTCTGATTGCACCTCTGCAACAAACAGCTGCTGCTGCTGTTTGCCTTCCAGCCCATGTGGAAACCGTCACAATGGAGCCGGGTTGACCTGATCCCAGGCGGCGTGCATTGTTTGTTTGAATGTTTGCCTGCATAAATAAGCTGCCTGTTGTTGTTGTTGCACAAATACATAACTGTGGGTTTCACCAACAGAAAATCAATACCTGTAGACAATGCTTGACTGTTATGAGTAAGTATGGCCTGAGAGCTTGAATCAACTTTATTTAACAAAGTGATTCACCTTAGACTTTCAGGGATTCCTGTCAAAGGAATCGTAAAACAGGATATATGCAAGAACTCGATGAATAGATTTAATGAAGCAGAAAAGCACTTGTACAGATATTTATAGCTGCTGATGTGTTTAATACTGCTAAGTCATTTTCAGTGACACTAATCAAGGACATGATGTCATTCAAGGTTTTGGGTTTTAATACTTTATTTTATCTGTGTTTTATTGATATCTGAATAATTATACAATATCAATTAATTTCAAAAGAGTTAAAAAGAGGGTTGAAACGATTAATTGAATTAATCGTGATGAACTGATTTCTTAAATAATTGTCAATTAATTTAGTTCAGTCAATAAACAGATTAATAAAAGACCAGAAAGAACAACACAAAAATACATACAGGCTATACAACCAAGAGATCACTTAAATGATCAGTTTCTCTGATTTTACTCAGATGTTTGAGTAAAATGAACTTTCTCCTTTTATTCTATGAACTACTGACATGTCTAATCAATAAAAAATTTTGTATTTATTAGCAGAAAATGAGAAATGGACAAAATAACAAAAGGTGCAGAGCTTTGAGGTCTCAATTAAAGCAAAGAAAACAAGTTCATGTTAATTTAGAAACAACAAAATTAATGTTTGAACTCAGGAAGAGTTCAGATATCAATATTTGGTGGAATAAACAGGAGAATTTCAAAAACTCTTATTTTTACCAGAGTTTTATGTATTCATATAAATAAGTTTCAAAGAAAACCTCTTTAACTGAATAGTTTTAACTTTAACTGGTTAAAATTCTGCTAAGAAAATCTCATATTTAGCCCCTTTTTCTAGTTAATCATTAATCAGTCAATGAAAAAATAAACAGATCATCCATATACCGTATGATAAAATGTAAATAATTACTGCGCTGTGGTTAAGTTATGGAGTTAAATTAATAAATAAAAAAAAATTATTACAATTCAAAAAGTTTTGAGCAGCTACATATTTTTTAAATTGAGATTAGTTTTTTCTTTTTTTCAAATCCAAAAGTTGTTGTTTTTTTCATTTGTTTGACATGATTTTGTTTGATTGAATAATTGTGAAACAAATTTAACTCCATATTAAGTGCTTAAATAAAAAAAATCTGCAAAAGGCAGAATAATTTTTTAATCCAGGTAATCGATTAATTGCCAGAATAACCAAAAAAACAGTTGATTAACCATCAGAATAGTTGTCAGAATTACAGAATAATTGATTAATCGTTAGATTAACTGATAAAATAATCAAAGAATCATCAGAATAATTGATTAATTGGCAGAAAATTTGATTAATCGTCAGAATAATTACCAGAATGAGTAATGTAATCAATAATTGACTATTAAAATCTTAGTTAGTTGCAGCCCTACTCAGAAGTGTCTGATATAAACCAATTCCTCTTGAGAAAAAAAGGTTTGAATTAAATCCATAAAAGCCCAAACTCAACATAATAGGAGTGTATTTAAATATCTGACTTCCTGTACGTTTTTCCCCATCGTTTCATTAAAGAAAATTAAAAACCTGCATTAACAAAGCTCACATTAAAGGCGGCCTGAGGCAGCAGCAAAGAGGTAGCCGGTGCTACAAGTTCTGTTTCGTACGTGACAGAAATCAATGTCCGAACGTGAATCCCGCCCCGCTGGGAACTCATTTAGAGTCTGATTAGATCATGTCAAGCTCTGCATCTTAAACACTTTAGGTGCGCGCTGCATCATGTGATCGCTCTCCTCAGACATTATATAATTTATGTCGCAGCACGGGTGCCGACGTTGGAAGGAGTCGCCTCCGATGGCGCCGTCATGCTGCTGAATATCATACAGTTATGGCATTTGCTTGTCACTGACAGTCCCTCTCAGTTGAAGAGGCAGGCAGGGTGAATACAGTCAGCTTTAATCTCACAAAGGTCTCTCGGGCTCCTCGGGGACATGCCGCCAAAAAGAAACCATATATGTTTCTGCAACGACTTTCTGCTACATCTTTTTATATTGCTGTGAATTATAAACCCACCAGATTATCGCATACAATAAAATCTAGATTGGGGTAGTATTCATTTGTCATTTAACAGCTGCTTTGTTGAATGTGACTGTCAAAACAAAAACAGCAGACTGTTAGCAGCTTGTTTGAGATGAAAATTATTTTAGATTTAGTGCTTTGGAAACTGTGGTGAATTGTGAAAAGTAACAGAAAAAGCATAAAAATGTTAGAGCTCTGATGAAAACATTGTTGGTGCCCCAGGGGGCCGGGAAGCCCAATTAAACCAAGCGTAAAAGATGCAGAGTGACACATAACATCCCAAAACACAAACACAAGATATGTCAAAGGCGCAAACTGTCCGTGAACATACTGTACCATGAGCGCCATTATGTAATCACTGCTGTTATTTAAGCAAATACGATCACTGATAATCTTGCTGATGCCACTTTAAGGCCATAAAGGTCAAAGAATACGATGGTAGAAATAAAATTTGAAGAAGATCTATTGTACAAAAATTATATTTTGGTAAGTTTTTGTACTTCCATTTGGGTCTAAACTGTTTCTAAAAACAACCCAAGCACTAAAAAACAAAACAAACAGCTGTTTTCTGGCAATAAGTTTATGTTTTTTGGTGTTTGGAAAATAAGCGGCTTCAAAAACTTTAACGCTCCGTTCCAGTTATGCTCAACTTCTTAATTGAAAAAATTAACTGAAACACCTAAAGGAGTCACTGGGAAACTGGGAGCAACTCCAACAATCCCCAGTAACAATCTGTAAAATAGCTTTGCTTTTCAATATGGCCGCTCTTCGCCTCAACAGCAGTAAAATGTGGTGGAGACATGTTCAATTTACAAGACATGCAAGTAAAAGTGCGTCTAAAATCAATGATAACTGTGAGGCCTTCAACTCTGACAGTACTTTTTCTGCTGGCAGATTATTTCCAAATAACTTTAGAAAAATGTCTTGTTATTTATAAATGAAATAGTCTGCCAGCAGAACTACCACTTTTTCATCAATTTTAAGAAAATATTGACTTAAAACAAGCATCTACATTTTGCTGAAAAGTTACATATAAGTTAGTTCAATCTTATTTCAAGCATACTAAGATGTTTGTACTAGAAACTAGACCAAAAATACTTCATAAGATTTTGTGTTTTTGTAGTGCAGCATCCTACATCAGCTGGTTTTACTGCTGTATGTGCTGTACAATGGCTGCTGGAAAAAAATAAGTGTTTTGTTGTTGACTTTCCATCAAGAAGCCACTTACTGGATTATTGTTGGTTGTGCAGGAGGATCTGCTAATGCTTTTCAAATATGTGCAGTTGTATAATTGGACATCTGTTTGCAGCAAACGTAACCATTGAGCTGGGGGCGTGGCCAGCTTTATTTGGATTTAAAGAGACAGGAGCCCCTCAAACAACTCAAAGTTGGCAGAACAGAGTAGACTAAAATCTCATTATCTCGGAACGATTCTGTGCAAAAGAATGTTAAAATCATGTTTTGTATCCTGATCAAGAAACTGTAGCAGGTCACCGTTTAACCCTGACACAGATTTTCCTGCAGATGGCCGCTTACTGCCGCGCTCCCTGACTCTCGGCCCTTTAAATTGCTGCTCATTTCAGACGTTTAACGCCTATGAGTGACAGTCCTATTTTCAGTGCCGTCATAAATGTCACTGCATTAATGACACAGGACTTGTTGCAAACTCACGCAGAGCAGATTAGTCATCGTCCTGACAGCAGGAATAAATTGCATCGGTTTAAGACGTTTACCTCGGCGTTTTCCATGTTTCAGGAGCGATGCGGACGCCAATCAGGAATGAAACGACGGGTTCTTATGCGCGTCCGGCAGCCACTGCATGGTTTATGCTTGGTGTCACCATCTGGAGGTCAGCGCTCTTCTTTCACAGAAGGAATCAAATTAACTGGACATCATAGCTGCTCTGTCATGAAATGTGCCTCTGCAGAACATCGGTGGAGTTCAGCAAATTGATGAGTTTTAGCTTCAATTTGTTCCTCAAATCTCAAACACACTTTGCTTAAATCTGTCTTAAAATCATTTCAAAGACTAAATTCTGAGTAAATACAGGAAGTCGTTTGCAAATGGTGATTTAATTGATGTAATTAGTCCTTCTTAGATTGTAAATTAAATGTGATTAGAGGAAATAAATCCTTTGCTTTGAAGCTGATTGACAACATATGAGAAACTCATCAAACTCTGATCTAAAGAAACTTTTGTCTAATTTTGTATTTGTTTATTTATTTTTGCCAGAATAGGGAATATCTGTAAATGTGAAAACACATTTTTAACTTATAATCTTAAAAATAAACAGCCTAAGGAAGGAAGGATAGTTCTTGTTTTTAAAAACCTGTTGAGATAAATAAACGTTTAGAAGAAATTATCAGGATTCCTCCAACACTATATGAAGTTAATTTAATAACTCGTTGAAATCTGTGCGCGATGCTAAGCTCTTCGTTGAGGCGGAACAGTCTTTCTTTGATCATTTTAAAATGTTACAGCAACATTTCCTGTTGGAAACATTCGAGAATCAGCAGAGATTTGAACAGAGCAGTGATTAATTATTGCAGCCGTTTTGTTTTCAGTCCCACATGCATCAGCTGCAAGAGCTAAAAGACGCAGGTTTTGTCATTTTTTTCCATCTGTCAAGCCTGTTGACTCCATCTGGATTTAAAACAAAAATGGCTTTTCATCTTTTGCAAGAGATTATTTATTTTTGTCATTATTCAAAGAAAATCTATTTTCATTTGTTCCTCCATCTGATTGTGTGGGTTTGAAATATTGAGTTACGAACAGCAGGAGAGCAGCACAGAAAAGGTTGAAGAGTTCAGTCAAACTGTTATCACTGATGTAGTTTTAGTAATTCTTATACAGGATACCTTTGGGAATTTATTCAGATAAAAGATACCCAATTTCAAGGGGTGTGATGATGCCTAAAACTCACAATACAGGAATAAGTCTGGACCAAATCTTAATACTGGTATTGAGAAAACATCAAAGATAAAATTTACGTAGCAAACAGACAATTATTCTGACATTCATTAGTCTTCCCACAAGTTTGAAGCATCTAGTGTCCTGAGGTGAGTCTATAAAACTAAATTGGGGCCTTAAAAATGCACAATATATGAAATTGTACATCTTTGAAAATGATTAGTAGAACCTTCTGCACAATAAACAAGAATATATCAAGTGGTTTCTGGATGGAAAGTCAACAACAATGTTACTGCCCTGGCCTTTAAGGGCTGGGTTGCAGGTGTCTTTTTGTCTCTTTGTGCTCCTCCCCTTTACAGGTGCTGCTGATTTGTTCATTTGGAGCACAGAGCATTTAAACCTGGCCATCTTCACCTTCTGGGTCGCCTTGGGCATCCACTCTGCTCTTCACGCTTGTGGCACTCTGTTGCAAGGCCTCAGCTCCCCTCCTTTTGCACATTTGAGTTTGTCGTTTTTGCACTTCAACACTTCCATATGCACTCATACAACACATCCAAGCATTTGCATTGCACCACTGATTCTGACATCCACAACCAATTGTTGTTTTTGTTCATAAATATTTGTTTATGCACTTTAGCCACTGCATGGTCTCCTGTTTGTGTTATGACCTTGAGCCAGTCGTAACAATTGGGGGCTCATCCGGGATTTGAACCCGGGACCTCTCGCAGCCCTTAAGGCCCAGGGCTGCAACAAACAACAAAACTCTTCCCTTTTCCACCAGCCATTGTATAGTGCATACTGGTAAAACCAGCTGACCTGGGTTTCTACACTGCAAAAACACAAAATCTTACCAAGTAGTATTTTTGGTCTAGTTTCTAGAACAAACATTGCAGTAAACTTGAAATCAGACAAAACTAACTTATATGTAACTTTCCAGCAAGACATAGGAGTTTGCTTTAGGTTAATAATTTCTTAATATTGATGAAAATGCACGACCTGCATTGGAAGATTATTTCATTAACATTTTTCTCATGTTAAAAGTGAAATAATTGACCAATGGAACAAAACCTTTTCCTTGATATTATATAAATATTGACCTAAAACAAGCTTATACATCTTGCCGAAAAGTTATAGGTTAGTTATGAGTAAATTTTAAAGTAACAGGTTTGTTTTGATGCCAAGAAGGAAAGACGTCAGCAACGACATCAGAGATGCAATTTGTTGTTGCACCTCAATCTGGTCAAACTATTTAAAGTTCTTCATTCTTGGATGAGAAAAAAACCCAAGAACAAAATCCAAAATTCTGTTAACATGTTAAAGTTAAGAAGAATAAGACAAAAAGGGAGCAGTTTAAGAACCTCTGAAGGGTTTTGAATGAACATAAAGGTTCCAGACTGCAGAAGTCCTCATTTATTAAACCACTTCACTGCAGCAAGGTGACGTTTCAAACACTTGGCTCCTCATCAGACAGAGAGAGGTCTGATAAAGAGCCAAGTGTTTCGAAGCGTCACCTTGCAATGTCATCAACAGTGAAGTCATCGTGGAGTTCTGAGCCAATTTGTTCATTCAGGATACTCTTAATTTCATCCTTCTTCCTGTGTTGCTCTGCATGTTTCTCTGTACATTTAGAATTGAAATAATACAAATAACATGGCAGCACAACTTGGGTTTGCAAAGGTTTGAGTTTGGTGCAATGCTATTTGGATACATAAAACCAAGGCTGAGGGCTTTGAGAATCACCTGCAGAACCAACAACAAAGCAGAGAAATCCTCCTACATATTTTGATATCGACTCAATAACAAATAAATACATGGCCAGTATCGCAATACACTGCAAAAACATCAAATCTTACAAAGTATTTTCTAATGCAATGTCTAGTATTAGACATTAACTAACACAAAACTAATAAGTAGCTTTTCAGCAAGATATTGGAGCTTGTTTTAGGCAAATAATTATTTAATAATGGCAAAAAACATACTAGCTCCACTGGCAGATTTTTTCACTTATGGTAAGACATTTTCCCATGTGAAATAATCTGCCAGTGGATTTTAACAACATTAAGTAGTTATTTATTTAAATCAAACTCCTATATCTTGCAAAGAAGTTACTTGTAAGTCTTAATTCAAGTGCATTAAGATATTTTCACTAGAAATTAGATCAAAAATACTCGGCAAGACTTTGTTTTTACATCGAGACGGAAATCTATAAAACTTTTCATTATTTAAGTTTGATAAAGTATCAAGCTTAAATAACATTTGAGTGTTTATTTCACAACTGGATAAACAATTGAAACCAGACACTTACATGTACTGAATAAAAAGACATATTTTGTATCACCATCTGATGTTAAGTCTGATCAAACTTCTCGTTTTAGGTCGGATAGAATTACCAAAATTATTTCTGTTTGCTAAACTTAGCAAAAAAATTTTGTTTTTGAGATTTTGTCTGAAATTTCTCAATTTTCTGACATTTTATAGAAATAGAAACAACTTTGGTCATTCTGATTGACCAAAACAAGACACATTTGGTCTGATTTAGCTTCAGACAGAGGGAGAAAAAACATATATGCTTCTTCTTATTTGCTGTATGTAAACTTCTGGTTTCAACTGAAACAATTTAAACCACAGCTTGAAATAGATGGGGATTTTTTTTTGTTTTGTTATTATGACCGTATTTGACTGTTTTCCACTGCTTCCAGTCAACCCTTCAACATCGATCTACTGTAGAGTTCCAGTAAATAAATTCTCCAGTCACTTAAAGCATTATTTGAGATTATCTAATTTGTGTGGTTGTGTAAACATTTTAGATGGAAAATGCTTCAGACGCAGCCTCTTTGTTTGTCTCGAGCATCTCCAAGGAGCACGACATCCTCATGGGTTCCGTCTACAGCTTGTTTTGTGAGTAAACACAATGATCCGATGTTTGCCGCGCTGATATTTCTCCTGACATTTAGTCTTTTCGCCATCCTGCTTTTTTTTTTTTCCTTTTTCCCCCAAAGGTGTCCTGTCCCTCATAGGCAACTGCCTTCTGCTGCTTGTTGCTTTTCACAAGAGATCAACTTTGAAACCAGCAGAGTTCTTCATCATCAACCTCTCCATCAGCGACCTCGGGATGACGCTGTCTCTGTTTCCACTGGCCATACCATCGGCCTTTTCGCACAGGTATCTGTTTGTCTTTGTCAGTAAACAAGTTGATTTAAATTAAAAAAGACGAACGCAGACAATTCAGATTCCCACTTTTAATTATTTTTTAATAAGACAGAAAACAGGATGCCAGTTATCAATTAGTGAACTAATCTAAAGTTGACTGATTTTATCAATCAACCAACTAAACTTAAGAAGCTTTTCGCATAAAGCACATTTTGCGTCCCACACCGGACTCTGTTTGGACTGTTTCTCTTTTCTGTTCTGTCCTGGCGCTGCCGCCATCTTTGTTTTTATCAACCTCCTAAGTATGGATGGCGGCCAAACGACAACCCTAAAAGGAGGTCTAAGTGGGCTTTATTGGAACTCATTTTAATTTAAGAAGCCATTAATCCCCAGTAGAGATCCATCATATCTCCATCTCGTTTCTCTTGTGTGCAGGTGGCTTTTTGGAGAAATTACCTGCCAGCTTTATGCCATGTGTGGAGTGTTGTTTGGTCTCTGCAGCCTGACAAACCTCACTGCCCTCTCCTTGGTGTGTTGCCTTAAAGTCTGCTTCCCTACTCATGGTGAGGACATAATGCAACAAGCAACAGAGTTGTTGTTTTTTTTAAACTCTGTAGACTTTCATCTCTAATCTAGTAAAGTCTATTTCACATTTCCCCTCACAGGGAACAAGTTCTCGCCTTCACACGCCCGCCTCCTGGTGGCCGGAGTGTGGTGTTACGCATCTGTGTTTGCCGTGGGGCCCCTGGCACAGTGGGGGCATTACAGCGCTGAACCTTATGGCACAGCCTGCTGCATTGACTGGCACGCACCCAACCAGGAGCTTCTGGCTTTGACATACATCGTCTGCCTTTTTGTCTTTTGCTATGCACTGCCCTGCACCATCATCTTCCTCTCCTACAGTTTCATTCTGCTGACCGTGCGGGGATCGCGTCAGGCGGTTCAGCAGCATGTGTCACCCCAGACCAAGACCACCAATGCACACGCTCTCATAGTGAAGGTCAGAGGATGTGGCTGTCACTGATGCAGAGGCAACACTGAGTTCATGCTTTGGCAGTTGACAGGACTTATAGGGGACCTATTATGAACAGGTTAGGATAGATCTACAGGCCACACAAAACATGTTTACTACTTTTATTTGACAATTAGATTTTAGTTTTGCTCAGTTTTAGGGCATTTTGTCACTTTAAATCCAAATAAGCTGCTGCTGGCCACGCCCCCAAACTCAACCTTAACACTCAGACATAAAAATTACTGGAAACAGATGTGACCATAATACCTTTGACCCTGAATTAGACCCAAAAGTAGAAGAAGTACAGCCTCCTGCACAACCAACAAAAACCATTTACAGAGTGGTAAGGATATTTTCACACCTCTTAGTCTGTTGGACTCGGTTCTGTTTGGGACCAAATTCACTTCAAATTTCAACTCCAGCGATTTGCTTTTACTGCCCCGAGTCAAATGATCCAAACTAATTGAAAACCCTATTCAACTCCTCACCTGTGGATGATGAGCGCAACTTCCATCTTCACAAAATTTAAACAAAAATTTTGCAATTTTTGGATTTCTCTTTTGTCTTCGGTAAAAGACCTGCTAGCACCAGGCTCTTGCCTTTGTTTTGTTTGCCATGTGCTATAGTTTACGTCCAGCTTTCAGAGTGCGAGAGTTCATTTAAACTGAACTGACCTTGGTTTTTAGGCGGACTAGAGTTCTCAGTTTGATCTGCATAAAAGTTTGATTGTGCATTCACATCTGCACAAACGAACCAGACTTTCTCGACAAACAAACTGGAGTTCGACTAAGGCAGACTGAACAGGGCTGGTGAGAATAGACCCTCGGTCAACAACAAAACACTTGTCTTTTCCAGCAGCCATTATGCAGCGCTTATTTTGGTAAAACCAGCTGACCAAACTTGCTGGTTAGTTACTAGGTAGGTTTTTTTTTCTGAACACTGGCTGTTTTTAGAAGAAGCTGAGACAAAAATGAAAGTATAAAAATGTGAATTTTGCATAATGGGTCCCTTTTAAGGATGTATTAGATTTTACTTGCTTGTTTTTGTCATGTATTTTACATTTGCAACATTAAAAATGACAGAAAAGAGACAAGAGAATCAATATTTGCTTTTATTAAAGTGTTGTGAAACCAACCTCAGAGTATAGCGGATTTAAATCAAATTTTATGTGATACACCAAGACAAAATAGTGCATTACTATAAAGTGGTAGATTATATAGATGGTTTTCTAAATGTTCTGTGCATTTGCACTTACATTTATTAAATGCAATGCAATCAATTGGAATCTAAAGTTACTAAATACTATAGGAATTCCCTGAAACAAAATGTTTGTCTAGGTTTTCAGATTTCTGTATTTTAAAGGATTTTAGGCCAGTCATAAGCTAAATGTTGTTAAAGACTTTTGTTACTGTTCTGTGATGTATTATGACATAAAATCCCCATAAAACAGAAGTTTATGATTGTAAGGAGACAAAATGTAAAAAAGCTAAATAGTTTTCCAATATAGTAGGTCATTATCTGTCTGTTTCTCTGCTTGTCGTTCTTCACAGCTGTCCATAGCAGTGTGCATTGGTTTTCTGGGAGCCTGGACGCCTTACGCTGTCGTGGCGATGTGGGCTGCTTTCGGAGACGCCACAACCGTCCCTCCTGCTGTGTTCGCCCTGGCAGCAGTGTTGGCCAAGTCTTCCACCATCTACAACCCAATGGTCTACCTGCTGTGCAAGCCCAATTTCCGTGAGTGTTTATGTAGAGACACGTCTACATTGCGGCAGATGATCTACAGGGGTAGTCCACAGCCGCAGGAGCAATTCAGCTTCACTCCACAGCGCAATAAGGACACGAGTGCCTCCACAAGGTTCTCAAATGGTCAGCAAGATAGCTACGGGGCATGTTTGAACTGCACCGAGAATGCAGCGCTGTGTCATGTGACCACTCCGCAGAAGACCGCCTGCGTCCTGACGGGATCCACCTACACAGAGGTGACAGTTAGTCAGCTCTCAGCCAAACCAGGAACAGATTTCATCTAACGGAGCAACTTTCCGATTCCACAAAGCAGACAGCTCTGGACACATGCTTCAAACAGTAGAAAAGACCTGCTGTAACCCGTTTCCTGCTCAATCTAAACATGGCAACTCCACAGGACTGCAATGAGCTGCTGTGAAATCCTGAAGGACTGAAATGACAAATCTGCACTGGTCTGAGTCAGTCTGAATAGATTTACCACTGACATTTATGTTTGTCTCAAGGTTTACTTCACTTTAAGGTTGCTGGCGGTCCTATTTTATCCAACAGACATTTGGGACTCAAAATCTGTAAAAACTAACATAGTGGTGCTACTGCTGGATCAGGGACACTTTGTTTCTCATGTAAAAGGGGAAACAGAGGCACAGGAGATCACATGATAAGAAAGAAGGTAAATGTGCTGCTGTAAAGTGTTTCTCAACTTAAAATCACAACTCCCTGTTGACTTGAACACCTCTATGTGAATGTGTTGTTACCATTACAACTAGGATTCATTAAAAAATAAACAAACACAATACAAAAACACCAAATCTTACCAAGTAGTTTTGGTCTAGTAAATATCTTCGTACACTTGAAATGAGACAAAATTGACTTGCAAGTAACTTTTCAGCAAAATACAGACACTTGCTGAAAAAGTACAGAATATTTCACTTACAACATGGGAAAAATGTCTTGTTATAAGTGAAATAATCTGTCAGTGGACCGAGTGCTTTTTCATCAAAGTTAAAGAATTATCAACTTTATACCAGCTCCTGTATCTTGCTGAAATGTTTGTAGGATTTTGTGTTTTGCAGTGTACACAAGTATCATCATTGCACCATTTTTTTGCTTTTCAGCAATTTCTTTCTTTTTTCTTTCTTTTATTTTAATGCTGCCTTTCGTTGTGGTTTCCATTGATTCTGGAAACAAGTTTTAGGTGTAACATTGTCTAATTGTGAGGAAGTTAAGGAGATTTTGTGGAACACAAAGTCCTGTTTTGATTTTGAAGTATGTGAGTTGTTTCTAATCTGCTCAAGTTTCTGAATAGTGCATGCGTGTTTGGATCAAGGGTGTGAAATTCATTGCATTCTTCAACTGTGTCTTGACTAGATATATCACGTTTGTGGTGATGTCATTTTTACTTCTTATTTATATTTTGTGACAGCTGACAGTCCAAAGTTTGAGTGGTTAAATAATTATAAACCAAAGTAATAAGTAAGAAAGTTAAGCCACCAGTTTCAGGCATCCAGCATCCTGACATGAGTCAAGCATCTGTTACAACCAAAAGTAGTTGTACTCTTGGTTGATTTACATTTACACTTGAATATGATCACAACAAAAAAATCTGTGGATTGAGTTAAAGATTAGCGTAATGGCAACGAGGCCTTCCAAACTCAAAAACTTGGATCTCATCACTGAAGATAAACTGTCAAAATATCAGTGGAAACATATAAAGGGAGGTGATTGTTGTAATGCCAATAATTTCCACTGATTGTTCAGGAGGGTATAAATAATTTGGTGTGCCACTAGTAAATAAAATCTACATAAATAATTGATACATTCGTTGATTTTCAAATTTAAAATATCTTTATATTGTTTTAATATCTTTAGTTAGATGCCTGTCTCACTTCTAGAAACAAGCGTCTTGCTTGAACGGAAAAAAAAGTCAAATCTGCCAGGGGTATGAGTAACTTTTAGCTGAATTGTAGAACGGTGTGTGGAAGCTGCAGCTCTGATAGTTACATTATTCAGCTTGTCCAAATAATCTGTGGCAGCTTAAGTTAGTTAATGATCAAATTGTGTCAACGACGATGGTGCAGTGGCGTTAATTTTCTTGTAATGGCATTTAAACCAAAGGTAGAAACAGAAACAGGACTTTAAAACATGAAAGAAAATAAAATGTAATGAGTGAATCTGTCAGTAAGTGAGTGTTTTAGTTCTGATGCAGTTAAGTAAAAAAAATGCATTTTAATCTTTCAACAGTTGCATTTCCATTGACAATATAACTGCAAATTGGATAAAATAAATTTGCTTAATATAAAGAACACACGCTTTAGGACTATTCATTCATTTTTTCTGTATTTTGCACAAAACTCCAACAGAAACACTTTTTTTCTCATCACGTTTGAAAGCAAGTGGTGGAAAAGACGAAGATGACGACAGGAAGTGGTAGAAAGGTGATGGCGAATAATTTTTTTCATGACTTATCACCTCAACAAACTTATTCACGTGCAATTTTAATTTAATTTCTTTTTTAATGAAAACACACAATTGCAAAATTTGACATCATTGGAACATCAACAAAGTTTTGCGCGTGTTGGTAATGGAAACGCAGCTAATAACTGCCCAGACCCATTAAGAGGAAAACTGATCGATTCCAATTGTTACTTGGTTCATTTGTGTTTTCTCTATTTTCAGGCTGAATCCATTCAAACTATGTGAATAAAAAAGTAGATTTGTGTTAAGTTAGATTTTTTACACACAACATAACCAGATAGAATTTGCAGATTTTTATATCATTGCAAAAGGAGGGAAAGACTTTGAAAAAAATTAAAAACTTGGATTTCCAAAGTAGTTTACAAGCTGACAAAGACAGATTTACTTTGATAACTGCTCAAATGTTTTTATTTGTTCATCATCAGAGCCGCTTATGTAAAACAGATTCCACTGCAGCTCCTTTCATCCCTGTCCTGCTCATCTTTCCTGGCAACTAATGTGAATAAAAGCCTTAAACTGAAATAAATGAGGAAATGATCATATTGTATGTCCTGCATGGTGCTCCCAAAATCTGCTTTTCTGGAAATTAGTAACACATTTAAATCCATTTTCTTTTTTTTTTTCACTGCTGTGTGGCTTTATGTGTTTGTAAACAAGAGCATAAGTAACGCTATTACTGACTTTTTAAAAAAAGGAGTCTTGTAAAACTCATTTAATAAAAAGATGTAACAAACTTCTGGTTTGGTTTTATTTCTCCTAAAATAGAGAAAGTATAAGTCTTTTATTAAGATGGATTCCAAATTAACACATCTTCTTCTAAATGTAATATTTCTAAATCAATAATTGAAGCTGTTACATTGCGTGATAAATATATACAAACAAGAAACCTTTAAATAATTTTCAGTCATAGTGGAAGGTCCAACGAGCTGCAGGTTGCAGACCTCTGCTTTAAACCAAGGCTAAAAATCCAAATTAGAGTTGCTTTCTATTAACAACAACTGGAACATCATAAACTGTTGTCTATTTTTCATTTCTTTCCTTTGCTTTGCCATTGCAATGTAAAGTTTTTCCATAGTTCTCGTTTAATTTTCCCTTTAATTATGTAAAGAGCTATGATTTGCGCTGTCGCTGAAAATGTGCTATGCAAATAAAATCTCCTTTTCTGCAATGAATCCTCACAGAGCTGAAGTTGGAGAATTACTTCAGTCAGAATCAGAGATGAGTTTACATGCTTCTTTCCTCTTTTAAGTCTCATTCTCTTACATAAACTCGTTCCCCCTGAATTCCCATGAAGCGCTCTCTGGAAGTGAATCCAGACCGTGACTTGACGCATCAAGTGCTGCGGTGCATCTGTGCCACTCCAGGCATCAAGTTAACAGCAGAAATTAATTTAACTGTGTTTAATTCTTAGCCCAGGATTGCTGCCTTGAAGGAAAACAGTAAATACTAAATGTGTGTTTATCTGTAAGAGTAAAAAAAGAAAAGAAAGGAAACAGAGCAGAAGAGGGGAAAAAATAATGTTTTTTGTGTTCTGGGCTGTTGACTTTACCTCTGTTCTGAGAACTCCATTTCTATTTCCACCAGGTTTCTGCAATAATCACAACTGAAACAATTATTATGATGCACTGGATAGTCATTAAGAATCATTAAAAAGAAACAATTGAGCAACCTAGAACAGATTTAAAAATGCAAACTTTTATTAGAGTGTTTTGGTTGCTTTATATGCTCAGTGTCAGAGTTCAGGCTACGACACATTGTAATATCACATGAATGCATTTATTCCATATTTAACAAGGAAAAACATCTATTCCACATTTTATGAAAAATGTTATATAGAATAAAACATTAGGCCAGTTACAGAAGCCAAGTAAACTGATGTTTCGGTCAATTAAAATTTACTTTAACTGCCCCAAGGATAAAAGACGTCTGATTAAAATCCTGAAGACGGAAGTCTTGAAAATGCAAACCACAATGCCTGAAGTTTCTACACAGAACTGAGCAGTAGCAAGGAGGAACAAGTCAAACATTGCATTATTATAAATTAAAAAAGGCAGCTAAGAATCAGCTGACTAATTAACTAATGGTCACACCAACATATTCCCACATCGCCATGCAAGTTCCCCAAGGTCATCTCGACATGTGGCAGAATGGAGGCTGGATGTAGGAAAATCTGAAAATGTTCTTCATTTTTTAATGAGAGGCTAAAATCATTTTTGTCTGAATGGTGACCAGAAGAATCTGAACTTTGTTACAAACACAAGTTATCAACTAATGAGCTCATCTAAACTTAATTTATCTCATCAATCGACTGACAATTAATAGACAAGCGGACATTTTCTTAAAAATCTGACTTTGCTCTTGTATGAAAAGTTCTAACTGTCTTTCTGAAACAGAAAGGGGTAATTTTTTTTATAACTTGCTGAATTAAAAGAAAAAAAAAAAAACATTAAATTTTAGCATTTTGTCTCACCTGAATGAAATAATGCCTGAATAAACAGAAAACTGCAGTTTTATCTCTTTAACTTTTGCAAAGAAAATTGTTAAGTAAGGAATGAAACAAAGATTATTGCTGAATTTTGGTTGAAACTTGATTAGACTCAATAAATAATCATGTTATTGATGTCTATTTCACTGTAAAACATCTGAAGGTGGTTTAACTGGGAAATGAAAGTTCACTTGTTGCCTTGAAAATGCAACAACTAAACTATTTGGGTTTTAACTCAGAAATTAAAGTTTATGAAGTTGATTTAACAAATGACAAGCTGTTTTCAAGTTAATTAATCTTGAATTGTGAGTTTTAACTTAATGCTGCAATTCAAATTCATACCAAATAATGATTTCACTATCTATAAGAAATGGAGAACATGAGGTGACAAAACCAATTTAAAACTTTCTGTAAATATTACCTTGCAAAATCCACTAGAAAAAACCCCAAAAGAAAATCTTACTGAATGGATTATGAATATTTACATTTTTATAGACAAGATGAAATTATTACAGTTGACAAGTTTATGAGATATATGGCAGTAAATTAATAATCTACTGTAAAGGAAAGCCAGAATCTTACCACTTTGCACGATAATGTGCTTAAATTTTGTTTTTTGGAGCTAGAGCGCCCTCTGCTGAATACAAACAGAAGCGAACAAACATAACATCCACCAAACGTCTTGTTTTTCCATAAACTTGTTTGATCTTCAGACTGGATTTCCCTAATTATTGAAGTTTTAATGCTTCAATTTGTGCAGTGAAAGTTGACATTTTGTTCATTTATTGGGCATGAAGATGACTTTTATTTATTGCCAAAATCTTTATCCATTTGAAAAGTTCACCTAATTAAAAAAGCCTTTTCAAGTTCTAACATTTTAATTGTCCCAAGATGTTATCATATTGAGAAAAAGGTTAAAAAATATTTACAAAGAAAATGATTAGCAAAAGCCAATACATTCAGATAAATCCCAGGCTTAAACTAGGATTTATGCCTACCGTAAAGAAAAGCTAGATTCTTTCCTAGGTAAACACCAGTTTATTGGGTTTATTTATTGCATAAACATTTTGGTTTAATTATTTCATTTTTGTTTTGCACATCACTTTGTAATCTCTCTTGAAATGTGCTATTTCACTCTGAACATTGGTTTTGTCTTTGAATATACACTCCTTGTATTATTCCTTTGATCGATACAAGGAGTGCACATTCTTGTACACTTCTTAAAAACAACATTGCTTTTATTAACTAAATTTACTTTCCTATTTATTGTTGATAGTATAAATTAAAATCTGATATTTTAATTATTATTATTATTATTATTATTATTAAGGTACTTCTTATTGATTTTATTAGCCCATTGGGCAACCCTAATAAATCTGACTCCTTTATAAATGACTACAATAACAAATGCAAACCTCCAAATGAAGAACGAGACTTTTAAACAAAATGGACTCAACATGAATTTCTTTTCTGTGATGTGAACTTGTACTTTAAACTATATTATTAAAAATAAAAAGAGCTGTTAAGCTTTAATAGTGTAACAGGACCTATCAAATAATATTTTGCCATAACGTTTCTGAAAATAATAAATACTTACTGCTGCTTTGAAGATGTTTTTCACGGAAGTCCGCCATCTTTGTTCTGATCGGCTCACAGGCATTCCGTTCTTTTTGTCCTGCGCATTAACCAACAGATGTAAATAGTCGTTTCTGATATAACAGTTACAGGGAAGACACAGATACAGGGAAGTGTCTAACTGTCGAATCAAGCCGAAAAATCTCGAACATCACCCAAAACCTCCGAGCTTCCGTCTCGTCGAGGAAAAAGTTGACACTGATCATTTTATTTATTTATTTATTTATTTATTATTAATTTATTTTCCTCGTCCATATAATAGGTATCTACGCTGCTGGTTGTCTTTCTTCGAGCAATAAAATAATTACAGATTTTAAAATGACTCAGTCGTTTGTTTTTCTGGAACGGAAGTGGTGGTTGCTTAGCAACTAAATACGTCTCGTCCTGACGTTCACTAATGGTTGTCAAAATTTGTTTTCCCTTGAACTAAAGGTAAGTCGTGCTCGTGATACCGTCGATATAGTCTCCCTTACAACGTCTATATTTAATTTCTAGATTATGAAACATTACATTTCTACCGACGTCATGTCTTTACCCATAAAACTGGACCTATAGCTCCCGGATTTTTAGCAGCTAGCGCTAGTGACAGCTAGCATTAGCTGACTTTAACCTAACCGAGCACAAACGATACACAGTGTTGTTGCTGTAAAGTTAATACAAAGACATAGCTTGACATTTCCTTGTTTTTATATACCAGGTCATATTAATCCTTTCACAATGATGTTCTTCACGCAACTGTTTACGTCCAAAAGAGCTCCATTAGCCAAAATTTGGCTGGCGGCGCACTGGGACAAGAAACTCACCAAGGCCCATGTGTTTGAATGCAACTTGGAAACATCCATCAGAGACATTCTTTCCCCTACGGTACCATTTACTTACTAAAAATACATATCTAAACCTTCTAGAATTAAATATATCCATTTATTAAATCCAGTTAATTAAACAGCTGATTTTAAAGATGTGAATCTGATTTTTTTTTCCAGATGAAAATTGGTTTGAGGACTTCTGGACATCTTCTGCTTGGCGTGGTCAGAATCTACTGTAGGAAGACAAAGTATCTCCTTGCAGACTGCAGTGATGCCCTGGTCAAAATTAAAATGGCATTCAGGCCAGGTAACAAGTATTTTTACTTTTTAGCATATAAATATATTTTTGTTTAATTTTTTCATTTGTAGTAATTCATTATAAAAGTTGATTGTAATATTTTAGAAGTTCCAAGAAAAGTAAAACAGCTGGGGTTTGTATGGAAGATATAATTTATAAAGATTTTGGGGAGATTTTCAGACTTATAATTTTTGACCCATTTTCTAAGCTAAGAATCTCAATTTCCCCCATAACTTGGATAAAATTACCAAAAAAATCAACTTGTTTTTCAAGTTTTTATTTTAAAACTCCACATACACAAAAGAACATCTCTAAAAACTGCATGTAACAGCGTTAGAAAAAATTTGAAAGGGTAAACCTTGTAATGTTTATTATAAAACAATATTTTTCAAAGTAGTGTTTCCTACAGCTTTATATATTTATGTCTTACCTTATTTACTTACATGCGGTGTGTATTTTATTATGGTGTTTGGAGCTAAACCCTGATCACTGCTGTGATATCATTTTTGTTCTTATTTGCCAAAAATTGGTGATAGAAATTTTGGAGTTTGTTCATTTTTCCCTAGCTTGTGTAGCAACCATTTGTTTTGACTGAGTAAGTTCATTTGTACACAAAACTATACAAAGTGTTTCACAGAAAATCAATGGAAAAAACATTAAAATCCCAGAAATTTTTAAGTTTCACCTAAGAAGAGTATGTCAGACACTTAGAAGCAACATGTGTTAAAAATAAAATTTACAGCAAATTTATAGCTAAAAAGTAGTATGAATCACTTTGAGGTAGTCTGACCAAAAGCCTCAGAAAACTAGAAATTAGTTAAACACAGGATAGCATAGATCAAATGTCTAATATAAATACATTTATATTTTAAATAGTTCCTTCTCCATTAATGCAACATTGATGTTTTTTATGTCAGGTCAGACTGATATGCCTGTGGAAGGGCTTGAGGCGACAGTGAAGGCGATCACTCTTGTTGAGGATTTTACCGCCTTTGATACGCCGCTGCCTCTGCCCAGGTGACGGCTCAGGCTCCACAAACACTCACCACCAATATGTTCTCCGATTCTCTTGGAAATGTTTCCAATTCCCACGGAAACCATTTCAAAATGATGACTCAGCAGTATGAAATTCTGATGTAAATGTTCTCCTTCATTTTTGATCACCTAAGTGACATCGATATGGACCACGTGTCACTGAACCAGTGTCGCTCAGAGGAAATCACTCTGAAAGAGGATTTCGGACATCAGTTTTTGAACTTTCAAGACATCGGTGAGAACCAGATTGTTTTCATACTCCTCCAGAGTTTGATGTTTACAGTAGTTGTATCGTTTTAGTCTCTGCTAATTAAGCAGTATTCATTTGTTTTGACACCACATTTCCTAGGACAGAGCTGCTTCTTATTTAGTCTTTGTCTCTTTTCCTCCCCCGCTTTGCTCTTTCTCACAGGCGATGAGTCACAGAGCCAAGCAAACACACTGCTGGACCAAAGCTTTGACTTTTCAGCACAGAGAGACGGTTTTGGCGATGAGGAGAATGAATTCGACCTACTTGGTAGTGTGTGCTGAACTAATTAATCCCCTTTTTGTTCTTTTATTAAGTCCAATCAATTGGTAAACTGTATTAAAAAGCTAAACAGTTGAACTATTTTCCTTGTTTTGTTGAAGCTGAACTACGTAACGTTTATAAAAAAACAAATTTGTTTAATCTGTCACCATGTCCTGACAGATTGAATTTAAGCAGATAATCTATGAAAGCATTAATCTCTTCCACCGTCTCCCTGAGCTACTATAGAGAAACACACTGCTCCAGACCAGAAACAACCAAACAGGGGGGTATTATCGCTCAGTCATGCTTATCTTCATGCTGCTAAAAGTGCTAATGGTGCAGAAACAACTTGTCATTACAGGAAAACCATTAGTCCACCATTATCGGTGGCCATGCTAACTGCCTGATTGACAGTTTTAAGATCCGCTTCCAAACTCTGATTGGTTGTTTGTAGTTAGCGCTGGGAGAATGCTGAGGAGCTTGATCTGATATTTTTTCCATACTGTCACAATACACAGCTCTGGTAAAAATGAAGAGCCCACTGCACTGAACCCCTTTGAAAACCTCCTGGTTTTTCCACCAAATGTTGATTCCTGAACTCTTCCTGAGTTAAAACGTTAGTGCTGTTGTTTCTAAATGAATACCAACTTGTTTTCTTTGCTTTATTTGAGGTCTGAAAGAACTGCATCTTTATTGTTATTTTGACCATTTCTCATTTTCTGCTAATAAAAACTAAATTTTTGCTTGGAATTTCAGAAACATGTCAGTAGTTCATAGAATAAAAGAACAAAGTTAATTTTACTCAAACATTTACCTATAAAAAGTAAAATCAGAGAAACTGATCATTCTAAATGGTCTCTAAATCTTTTACAGAGCTGCATGTGGCAGTTTCAACAAAAATGTAAATATTCTTTAAATAAAAGTTGCATACTGCAGCCCTGATGTTTCTTTTCATTAAGGTAACAATTTGTCATAGATTAAAGGGATCTGCTGCTTCTCGGTTTCCCTTCAGACTTCCTGACGAATCCCATCAATCAGACTGAAGCCCAGAATTTCATCCAGGAAGAGCTGCAAAGTGAAAATAAAGAAGGTTCTCCAGTTCAGGATGATCAGCCTCACAGCGGTGACGATGTTTTACAGAACAGCACTTTTATGTCTGGAACAAAGTCTTTGAGTTTTCATGTGTGTGATGGTCGTGTTTCATGAACGCTTCGTGTTTTCCAGATGCTGACTGCGGCGTTGCTGAGGAGATGGTAACTGAAACCACGCTGCTGACCAATGATGAGGCCGTTTTCGCTTTAGAACCCGTTCCCATCACGCGTAAGCAAACGCCTTGAACTGGGATCCTCCATTTCCCAGAGATGGGAAATGGATTGCAACATCTCAGCTGATCATTAAGAAATCAGCTGAGATGTTGCAATCGCTGGATCTGCTGCAATAAATCAATTATAAAACAATAATTTCCATTTATTTTATCGTTTTTCCCTTTTCTAAAACTGGATGATAAAACTCTTCAGTCTGATACTTTGGTCTCAACTTATCCTTTTTATTACACCGCGTTCCCAAATTATTATGTAATTGGATTTAAGTAAACTTTCTAAACTTTATTTCTTTCCATAATTTGAAGCCCAGTTCTATAGGACTTACTTCTACTGTTTATCCAGTTAATGTTCATTTTTAATATCAAATTCTTCTTTTGTATTTTGGCAATTCCTCAAGACGTGATTTATTGTATTGGCGCTAATATTTCAAGAAGCTACTTGGTAATGTTATGTGCACTTTAAATAATAATTATGTTAAAATTATTTTTTGGATACTTAAGTGCAGCAATTTGAACTGTAAAAATAAAGCTTTAAAAAAATCAACTTTTTGAGAGAGGTGCTGCAAAAATCAAAAATTTTATTCTGCAACTATCACATAAAAACGTCGCATCGTCCGTAAGAGACTGAGAAATCATGCCGCCTTTTTGATTTCTGAAAAAATAATTGTTTTTCATTTTAGCAAACTCTGAGAGAAAGGTGGGTAAGAGGAAACGTAAGCTGGTGGTTGACCAGACGAAAGAGCTGAGCAACGACGACATCAGGGAGCAGATCTCAGATTATTCGGATCTGGTCGCTCCGTTGGACATGGCCCCGCCGACGGTGCAGCTCATGCTCTGGAAGGAGAGCGGCGGTGCCGACAAACTCTTCTCTAAACCGTGCTCCGCTCTGGTGAATCCACTCATTAAAGAGGTGAAACTCACAGCATGTTTTGTTTTTTGCCGTATTAAAACCTTATATCTGTATATAAATGGATGTTGCCTTCGCAGGTCTTTGCCAAAAGTGTCTTCCATTTGAAATTTTACAGCGTAGAAAAAGAGGTTGAACAGATGCGCCAAGAGAAAGGAGGAGGTACGATTATATGAATTAATGTGATTAATGTGCAAACGTGAAACTCCTGATAAAGATGCATAAAAAGCCTTAAAATAAATGCATTTTCTTATTGCAATCCACTGCAGAAACACAAAACCTTTTGTCTAATTTCTAGAGCAAATATATTAATATACTTGAAATGAGACAAAACTCTCAAGTTACTTTTCAGCAAGACATAATATTTTGTTTTAAGTCAATAATTTATTAATATTGATGAAAAAGTACTAGTTTAACTGTCAGATTATGTCACTTTTAACATGGGAAAAATGTCAAATGTCACGTTATAAGTGAAATAATCTGCCAGATTAAGAGCCATAAAATGAAAACGATTCCTTATTCTGGTCCAGAAAACTGGTTGTAAATCGTTTAATATGTTTTGGTGAAGGAGAAATGGCCCTTTATTAACCTTTCAGACTAACAGATGCACCAAAACTGTCAGATTATCCTCAAAAATAGAGTTTGAATGTATTTTCATTTACTTTCTTTCAGAAGGATTCTGTTGTGTTTATCCTTTAGAGTGAGAATAGAAAATTTTGCTGTTTTGCTTTTCAATTTTTCACGATTGCAGTGTTTATCCAAGAGAAAGACACATAAAACTTCAGATAAATCACAAACGAGATGTTAATATTTATAGAAAGCAGAAAACTATTAAAGACTTACAGAAATAAAAGGAGTAAATTTCTGCAAAAAAAACTCAACAGAAAATGTATGAACTCAAAGATGAAAAATTTCAAGATAAAAACTTTTTTACATTAACTTCATAGATTGTCTAGAAAAAACTTTAAATTTTTAGGATTTTTTTGTTTTTTAGAAAGTTTCTGAGTTTATTCGCAAAATATCTGAGTTTTTTCTCACATACTTTTGCATTTGGAGCTATAAAACTTTGTTTTTGCCTCCTTTTTTGTTTTTTATCTACAGTGATCCTAATTTGTCATACATTTGTGAGACAAGGGAAAACAAAACCCTCATTGGCCACCAGGGGGCTCTGCATGTTTTAAGACATTTTATAAATTTTTTTTCCAGCAGATTTTTTGTTTTTCTCTACCTGTTCTGATTGGCTTCCTTGCAGCTCAGGGAGACATCAGCTCCCTCTTCACAGGCGACGCCAGCGTTGTAGATTCATCTGCAAACACTGAAATAACTCGCAACACTGAGCTGATGGCCTTTGACCTCATGAATGACAGTCAGGAGACAAATTCTACCATCTTCCAAGTAAGCCCTAACAGGAAGTGTCCCCTGAAAATGTGTTGTTTTTTACCGCTTTGTGATCTGTGTCTGTCAGAATGAACTCGGCGTAGATATGTCTCATCCCAACCTGCCGTCAGAGGACTCCATGTTTGTCCATCCCTCTAATGTGGAGCAATGCACTCAGTCAACTTCTCTCAACACCCAGGTGCTTCTGAGGAAACAGACGCTTTCTGTCGCTTTTCTCCTCCTGCTGGCCTCCTCTCTGACTCTAAATAACTGAAATGTCTGAAAATAGCTGGTAGGGAAGCTTTTGTCTGTTGGCTCCTAACAGATGGCAGGTGTTAATTTTCCCCCCTGCTGGCTGGACGATGTGCGCAGCATCCCTGATTAAAAACATGGTGCTTTTCCAACCTGCAGTCTCTGCTGGGGAGCCAGGACTTTGAGGAGAGGAGAGTCACCAGGAGAGCAATGAAGCTTCTCAACGACCTGAAGGTAAAAAGCATGCTAATGAAAAATAACAAAAACCACAAGTAAAAGAAATATTACTAAAAATCCAAAGCATAAAAGAGGTTCCCTTATTAAAATAAAAACATCAAATTATTTTCTGTTTGTTGACAAATTTTTAACATTCTTGATTTGTAGTTTTGGGCCGAACAAAATCATTTAAAGGGCCACCATTGGTCCCCAGGCCACAACTTGGTCACCCCAACACAGAGATGTGTAGAGTACCCAAAAATTATACTGTAGTAAAAATACCTCTACTTGAACATATTTAACCCAAGTAAAAGTATTTGGTAAAAAGTCAAGTATTCATCAAATTATCAATCATTTAATATTTAAAAATGACAATAATTCATATAACATTTTAAAAAAATAAAATCAATATTAAACTTAAGGCACTTTATCAAAAGCTGCAGGTATGAGTCTGTGGTAATTAAAAAGTTTTTAAAAAATTCAAAAAATTTACTCAAATTAGGGTAGAAAGTACAGAGTGATAAAAAATACTCCTAAAAGTGCATCTTATCAAAAAAGGTTACGCAGGTAAATGTAACTAGTTACTACCCAACTCTGTTAAATGTGCATCAACACATTTATTCAAAACTGACTGTCTTTTTTGAGGATTTTGCTACACAAAAATAATTTCTGACTTATTTTCTCCACCTTCGTAACTATTACAAAAACGACTCCTGAAAGCAATAAAAACTAAACTAACAGGTGATATAAACTGATCTGATGGATTTGTTTGCGTTTTGTTTCTGCAGCAGAGACACATTGCCGGAGATCCCGCCTTCAGCCTGCAGTCGATCTGCAGAGGAAACACTCGATCGCAGGCCGCAGCCACTTTCTTGTCCCTGCTGGTTCTGAGAAAGCAACAAATCGTGGTTCTGCACCAGCCGGGCCCGTACCGGGACGTAGCTGTGGCCCCCGGGCCCAAATACTGCAGCTGAAGCGGTCCTGGTTGTTTGGAGTAGATGCCGTTTGATCACAGCAAGCTCATTTCAGTCGTATGAAACTCGTGTTGGCCTGTTTCTGTGAGAGAAATTATTTATTTTTCTGTCGTTCTTTGTATGTTGTAACTTATTTCAGCTGCTGGTTTTTCACATTCCCACCTGTTCGGTTCACGTCTTGTTCAGTGTGTCGAATGTCACCTGCGTGCTCCATCCCAGGTGTGATTCATCTAACCTGAGAGAGAAAACCAAGGTGAAAACTTACAATATAAAAATTAAAAATGATTCTCACAGCTGTGAAATTTGATGACTTTGTTACAATAACAAGTTTGTTTAAACATTTTGTCCATGCCAACAAAGTGTTAATTTTCTGTAAGCTAAAATCATCAACTTCATAAGAAATAAGGGCTTGAATTTAAAAAATAGCTTTTGTTTCTGAAATGAGCAACAAAAAGCATATATTTTCACAATGTTCTACTTTTTTTAGATATCAATTCCTTACATAAACAAACCAAAACCAGGTTGAGTGTAGAGAAACTTTTTTTTTTCAGAAACCTGACATTTTGGTTGTGTGCAATATTCTAGATTATTAGATTATTAACCACATTTAGCTGTAGCAAGTGGTTCACATGATTACACGATTTACGTCAGAAATCAAATGAAAATAGAGAAAAACCTGTGATTTTAGGCTACACTCATAATTAACTAATGTAATCAGTTCACAAGCAGGAACTTAAATTGTCTGAGATAAATTAATTTACTGATGGTTTTCTCCACATTGTTCCATCCTATAAATGCAAACCATTCATCTCATCATCTCCAGGAAACAAAGTTTGTTTTCTTGAGATGAACTTAAAAAATGGGGAAAAGTACCTATGTGGGGAACAAGAAATGAACTCGATATCTGAAGAAAAACACTGGAGACATTAATACTTTATTTAGAAAATAGGACATTAAGGTTTTATCTCAAGAAAAACTATTTGAAAGCTAAGTTGTCTCGGAAAACCATTGAGAAATTAATTTTAACTTGAGATAACGAGTAAATAATGAAGATGAACTCGTTATCTCCAGAAAATGTAAAATTAAGTCATTATCTCGAGAAAACCATCAGGAATTTAAGTCGTTATTGCGAGAAAATAGTTAATCTCTAGAAAACTTCTGTTATTAAGGGGTTGATAATGAAAATAAAATGAGAAAAATGTGAAACACGTCCACTCTCGGCTTCCGTAGACCGTGAGTGTAATGAATCTGTGTTTCAGTCAATTAAATAAGCGATAAACTACATTATTCTACTATTTTGGATCCACCCAGCCTGTCTCTCCAGGCTGGGTGTTTTTGAGCAGTTGTTCCGCGGGTCTTGCGGGGATGTTGCGGGTCTCAGGATGAGGCGGGATGAGTCCGTCCTGTCCCTTTAAGAAGCAGCAATGCAGCAGCGGCTCTCGCCTCATTTCGTCTCGGTGCCTCATGGCTGCAGGATGGACTCTCATCAGCACCGCCAGCACCATCAGGTCGGGCCGGAACCGAGGCTCTTCGGCGGTGCCGAACCGGTTCTGTCTCCCCAGCACAGGTAGAACCCGTCCGCTTCCGAGCTCCACCTTTCCATCCACTGCATAGGACACAGCTGAGTCGTTTTTATTTACCAAGTAAATTCTGGCTGCTTGAGTCTGTCTCTCTTGTGCATGGACTTTTTGTTTTGCATCTTAAACTGATTTTCTGCGTGTCACAAACGCGAGGGATTCGCTGCTGACATCTGAATCGCTGCATCATTAGTAACTGAAGCGGTCTGGTTTCATCCTCCTCCACACTTACGTAAGATGATTGCGTATTTCTCACCAGCTCTTCTTTGCCACTTGTTGCGCAAAGCAAAGCAGAGCCTCGTCCTAGAAAAGGAGGATGTAGGACGGGGAGGAGAAGCGGGCTCTATTCATCAGGTCTCCGAAACTCTGCAGGTTCTGATAGAAAATGGCGACATTTTGTGCTCATTTGAGATAAATAATTCCCTTTAAGTTTATTGTTTGCACGCTGACTTGCTTAGTTTCACATAAAAGTGCGTTGAGTTATTCACAGTAAATGTTATGTGGTGAAGTTATGCCTCATTTGCAGCTATTTGCAAAATATAAAATAATTCAGAGCCCTTTCACAAAAACTGTACTGTAGTACAAAACTTTTCCAGTTTTTGTACATTTTTATTCAATCATATTTACTCTCATAAAATCTAGTGAAATTAATTTTCTTGTTTTCTGGCACCCTTAAATAAAATCAGATGCAATTACTATCAATAAGTGAATGATTAATTTATGTTTAATGATAATTGTGTTGTAGTTTCTTTGTTTTTGCTGTTCATTGTTTGTATTCATTTATATATTTTTTGTATTTATTCACTAAAGTTGTGTAAGATAGACGATTTAAAGCTTTTTGGCTAATTCTACCATATTTACAGAAATGTCAATTAATGTGCAATTAAACTAAATTAAAACTTTTTAGAATGTTACTAAATTCAATGCTTGTTGCACTTAGCTGTTTCAGATCATTAAGAAAATCCAAAAATATACTGAGATAAGCTGAATAAATAATATTTTCACTTGATGATTTTATTTATTAAGGGAGAAATCCAAACCACTTAGTCCCTGAAAAAAGTAAACATCTCTTAAAGTAAATAACTTTTGTCTGACGTAAGCATTTCCAATAATGTTTAATGGAGGAATTTTCTGCTGAATCGTTTTAATCCAGAACATTTGAGGGTTTCTGAGCCTGAAAGGACACCATGCCAGGCCAGGGGGATTTAAACCTGAACTAGGTCACTGAAAAAACCTTCAGTTTAATTTATTTATTGAGCCATCCAGAGGTGAACTGGCTTTGTGTCGTCGTCGTCCTGCTGGGCAACCAAAGTGTTCTTGAGTTTAAGGTCAAAAAATGACAGATTTCCATCCTTTGGTCCGTGAATCTCAGCAAATCCTGCTGGTATGATGTTCTATTTCTGAAAAGCAGAACGAAATAAAACAACCATACCACACATTCAGGCCTAAGAGAAATTTACAGTGTGAAGTTAACCTGGAAAACAACTGCACTGCAAAAACACAAATGTTAACGAGCATTTTATCTTACTACTGTAGAAACAAAAAAGATAAAATAACTTTCAGCAAAATATAGGAGCTTGTTCTAAGTCAGTAATTCCTTAATATTAATGAAAAGTATTAGTTCCACTTAAAAGACATGTTATAGTGAAATAATCTGCCAGTGGAAGTAGGAACTAAAAGTACTTTGTTTTAAGTGATGAAAATAACTGCGTACTGTTTTAAAACAAAGATGCATTTTGAAGTGTTTGCGAATTGATGATGAAATTTGTTAAATGAAATTAAGCCTTTCATTTAGTTCTGGACAATAACTCAATAACAATACATATATATACCCATGATGATATATCTGGTATATATCAAATTCACTGAACTCTGATCCAGAACCGCACGGCATTCTGGGAAATGAAGGCAGCGGAAAGACTTTAGCTGCTTGAAAGCCAGACAAGTTAGTGGGACCAACCAACTCACTCATTGTTTGGTTACCTGGCAACGGCCAACCAACTCACTCATTGTTTGGTTACCTAGCAACGGCCAACCAACTCACTCATTGTTTGGTTACCTGGCAACGGCCTATGGTTAAAGTTGTTTCAGGTTCCGCCATTTTGCCTCATAACTGCTTAAAAAAAAAAAAACACTGTGGAGAGAAAGCTGTGGTTCAACAGGAAAGGTCACCTCCGACATTTAAAATAAAAAAATATTCAATAATTTATACTGGATGTGAAACACTTGTGTTTTCAGCCATGTTGACAATAAGGCTACGTTCATATTTTATCACTTAATTCAAATCCTAATCCAAGAGAAGGTTAGCAGTGAAGCTAACCTGATGCATCAGTTCCCAACAATGACGATAAAAAGCAAGTCAATGTCTCTGCCATCCTCCTGCAGTCAGACTGTCGTGTTGTTCTTCTGTCAGTGTTCGTTGAGTCATGTTTATTTTCAGCGCTGTTGCAGAAGGACGGCTCAGGCTGTGGAATCACTGGTCCTCTTTGTGTCCTCGCAGAAAGAAGGCTTTATTTCCTGCTAAGATCTTTCATGAAGGGTCAGACTGTTGTCCCGGGGTTACAGTGAATATTTCCACAGAGCAGATCATTTAGGGCAGGATTCGTCCTCTTATGGGATTCATCTGCCGTTTTCTGATTATGTAATGTGCTTATTTTGCTGCCTGCTGCAGTCATTACAGACCGGCTGTGAGGGATCCCACTGTCCCCTGTTAGCAACAGCAGAGACGACCTCGGATTCGCTTTTTCACGCCAAATGTCTCTCACTCCGAGTCGGAAGTCGTCCTCCATTCAGCGCAGGTGATTTTCAAAGTTTCAAGTGTCACTCAGCTGTAACTCTAAAAGGAACACATGCAAAATTTAAACTTTACATGTTTTTATACTTTCATTTGGGTTTCAACTGCTACTAAAAACAACTCAAGCATTTGACAAAAAAGAAAAAAAACTAAATATTTTAGGCAATAAATTGTTTTCTATGTCAGGAAAATGAGCCATTTCAAAAACTTCCTGATTGTTAATGTTCCAGTTATTTGTTCAGTTTGTAGTTGCAGGCAATCCATGCAACATTGATTTCACCTTTAAGGCTTTGCAGTAAAGTCTATTCTCCCCTCAAGGCGCTCGGTTGGAACAAGTGGCGGCAGCAGGGGGTGTTCCCATAGTGACACGTCCAGTACTTACACTTATCCCGGGCGGTTGAGGGGTTCTGATGGCAGCCCCGCAGCCCGGACCAATCCCAGCACGCCCAGGTGGGGTTGCGTTTCGGCCGCATGAGCAGAGCAGAGGATTCCGGTTGGTGTGTTAATGAGAAGTTCGTCTGTTTGTGCCGATTCAGGCGCCAGCCGAAGCACACGGCCTGCATCAACAACCATGGGATCAAAGTCCCGGCGCCCGAGCAGTACCTGACCCCGCTGCAGCAGAAGGAGGTCTGCATCCGACACCTGAGGGCCCGGCTGAGGGAGAACGTGGAGCGACTGCAGCACAGGTCCACCAGCCATCCAACCAGTCATCCAACAACCAGCCATCGAACCAGCCATAAATTAATCCAACCATTCAGCCATCCAACCAACCATCCATTCGTCTACTAATCCATCGTTCTTTACTTCCATCAGTCCATTAATAAATCCATCCATCCATCGATATTCCTACCCATCTATTCGTCCATCCATCTATTTACCATCCAATCACTCATCCATCTGCTCACCTACTCCTAATCAAACCATCCATTATAATAAATCTTTTCTTATTATTTTGCAGGGATTATGAAATAGAAGAGTTGAGGTCCCAGCTGAACAAGATGCAGGAAGACTGGATAAAGGAGGAGTGCCACCGCCTGGAGGCCCAGTTAGCTCTGAAGGAGGCCCGTAAGGAGATCCAGCATTTGCAAGAAGTGGTGGAGTCGGTCAAATCCAACATTGGCGTCCATGATCAAGACCCTCACGATTATAAGCCATACTCAGGGCTGCAGGCAGTTCGGCCTGGAGGAAAGTCCAGGTCCTGTGGTTGTTCCCCCGCCAGCACCTTGACCCGCGGTTCCACCTTCACCCGCCGGAGCAGCGAGGCTCTCCAACTGGACCGCAACGCTCCAGAACCGAGCGGGGCGCCTCGCTCTGCGGGACAAACCCACGTGCTGCTGGAGGCAGCGCTCCTGTCCGAGCAGCTGCCGCACCAGGCCCACCACCCCCGGCCCGGCCCGGCCGTCTCCCACTCGGCCACCTGCGAGCGTCTGTGCAGCGGCGGCGCCGTGCTGCCCGTGTCCCACTCCTGCCACTCCCTCAGCAGCAGCTGCAGGTGCGGCGGACACGCCTACCTCCCGCATCATCACCTGTTTCTTCACTTGCCTCAAGAAGAGCCGCCGCTTTCAGCAGCAGCACCAGCCGCCGTCCCGGTTCCAGTCCCGGAGAAGAAGCCAGAGGTCCGGTCTCAGGGCTGCAGCCCCACCATGACCTGGCTGAGCGAGGAGAGCAGCGCCGAACCGCTGAGCATCATTTCCACAGGGAAACCAGAACTCACCCCTTCGGATCCACGGTCCATGTCAACATCTTTACCTCTGCTGTCTCCTCCAGATCTCCCTCCCATTGCTGCCGACAAACCCGAGGACGCCAGGAAGGTGCTAAAAGGGCCGCACACCCGCCAGCCCAAGCCAGCAGAGCCACTTCCTGTTAGACAGGAAGCCACTGTGCTGGAGTTTGACGAGGACGAAGCAGAGGGAAGTGAGGACAGGCGTCCCCCGGAGTTGTCGCACTGGAGCCGCTACTTCCTGGTAGACCTTCTGGCTCTGGCGATGCCGGTGGTTCCCACCATGGCGTGGCTGTGCCGGGGGGCGCCGCAGGAAGTGGTGCCCGCCTACCACATCGGCTCCCTGCTGAGAGGCTGCTGTGCCGTGGCCCTCCACTCGCTTCGGCGGCAGGGCGCAGGCCGGGGCGGGCCGACCTCCGACATGAACAGGACAACTTCAGTCTGACTCTTCACGCCCGCTTTTAGATGAACGGGGATCTGTTATGCCAAATTCACATTTTTATGCTTCCATTTGTGTCTCGACTGCTTCTTAGAACAACCCAAGCAATTAAAAACAGAACATCCAGCTGGTTGACAATAAGGCTACGTTCATATTGCAGCCCAAAGTCACCCAGTTCAGATTTCTGGTCGGGTATCAAAGACGTTCAAATCGGTTGGATTCACAAAAAATATGTGTTCAGACTGTCATGAAAATATCAGATTCAGGTCACATTACATAAAAAAATAAGAATCGGAATTGGGTCACTCCGGACTGCAGTTTGAACGCAGCCCAAGTTAACATTTTTAGCGTTTAGAAAACCGTTTCAAAACCTTCCGTTGCTTATCAACTCCAGCCCATTACCGAGCAACCCAGTCGAAGTTCCTGGAAAAGACGAGCGTTTTGTTTCTGACGTACCAGAAAAGATGCTTGTATCATGTTTGCATAATGTCTGTTTGCAGCCATTTTCATTTCTGGGTGTAAACATTGAGTTGGGGGCGTGGCCAGCAGCAGCTTGTTCTGTTTTAAAGTGACAGGAGGCCCTGAAACTGAATAATTATGTACAAAAATGTAACGGACATGTTTTGTAGTGTCCATGGATCTATCCTAACATGTTCAAGGAAGCAATAATAAGTCAAAGTTAACACACCACCAGTCTAACCATCTGCAGATCAACTCTGTCTTTCAAATCCCAGTCATATTGGATTCCTCCTCATTTAGGAATTTTAGTAATCAAATAATTGCGTGAATAATTGTGTCAGCCAGTTAGACACATATATCCCCTCTGCTTTATTATTGAGAAGTTTAATCAGCTTTTCAGTTCAAAAACGGAATCTCATCACACAGAATTGCATTTTTAGCGTTTTTTTTCCCTTTTTCTTATGTTTATAATTTTGCGGCTTACAGCAAATGAAAACCCAAAATTCAGTTTCTCAATATTAAATTGGGGATTTATGTCAAGACCTTTGCACCATTAAACAAAAGCCATTTTGCCCTCAGGCCAGCTAAATAAAGCTTTAGAATTAAATGTTAATGTTTCCATTTGTTATAAAGGCTTATAATAGGAAATTTGTTGAACAATTTAAAGAAGCACAATTTTATTTCTAGTTTTATATAAAAAATATTTAAAACGTGATTATCTTTGCAAAAAGATGAATAGATGTAAAGAATATGAACAGCTGCTTTTAGTGTCATTCTGTTGTGCAAGTTCAACACAATTATTCCATAGAAAATCTGGAAAAACTACTAAAACATGCAAGACTTAAAGAGCCACTTGTGTCTCTTTAATCATCAACACCATTCAATGAGGAAAAGATTAATTGCAAAACGAGCCGTTCAGAGTTTTATTAGAAAGTTCAGTGGAAGAAAAACATGAACAAGTATAATCTTAAATCTAGCCTGAAAACGTTTTTTTGTTTCACGTGTTTTGGTCAGATTTGATTAATTTGTTTTAGTTAATTTCACTCTGCTAAAGGTACATTTCTGTATTAAAAACATTCCCTATTGGTTCATGTAATATTCAAACTTTTATGAGAAACCAAATCTTAGATTTAAATTTTTTCTGAGTCATAGTCATCAAAACAAACAATACATTCTTAAAATATATAGTTCTGCTTCAGTGAGTTTTAAACTGACTGTTATAAACCTTTCAAGGATATTCTGATCTATAGAGAGCTGTAGGTGTTCTGCTCCTTCAACAATTTGCATGTAAAGCACAGATTGTTTCAGACCCTGCTTTGGTTTTGGTGACCAACCTTCAAGACAACAATGTACAGTTTATACAATTAAAAACAATCTGAAGTTAAATTCTTCTCTTTTTGTATCAAAAAGTTTTTAAAATAGCTTCAAGGAAATGTTATCAGTGTTTGAGTGCAACAAAGAGCAGGAATTCATCTTAGTTTTATAGTTAGATCTGATGTTTTAAAGCATTTTTACACCTGTTTGGTGCAGGTTTCTTGCTGCAGACGGGGTACGAAGGCCATTGTAGATAAAAAAAGGAGTAAATTTCCAACAAACAGCTGAGAAATTCTGAGATTAATAGTAATTTTCTCAACAAAAAAAAAGCTTGGAAATTAAACATTTATTTAAAAAAAAAAAATTCTGAATTTTATGGTCAAAAATCTAAACAAAATGTGTTTTCATTTTCTGAAAGCCATAATGATCAAAATTACAACAAAAAGGCTTAAATATTTTACTGTGTAATGAATCTATGGTTCCACTTTCTGAAATGAGTCAAAAAGGATTAAACTTTTTCACAATATTCTAATATTTTGTGATGAACCTTTATAAAGATTTAACACTTTGTCATCAATGTACAATAATTCAGTCCAGGTTTGACTAGTCTATGGCGCTTCTCTCCACAGCTTAAAAATCCTTCAAAATGTTTTTTTTTGTGTTTCCAAACGTAGAATAAAGTATTTTATGAACCTTAAACAGTGTTGTGAAGAATTTATTTTCTGGAAATGAAGATGAAAATGGAGTCTGGAGTTTTTAAAACGGTGAAACAACGTCTTACCAATGCAAAAAAAACCTAGGGGGCGCTCTTTCCCCGAGAGCCATGATATAAAAGCACAACAAATGGGTAATGTTTTGTTTCCTGAAGTTGCCTGCGTTTTAAAAGTTTAGCTCTTTTGAGTTCCTGAAGCTGAAATCAAACTTTTGTCAACCAAACTATTAAATAATTTATTATATCTAGTAAAGGTGTATTTTAGAGATTCGACCAAACGCACAGTAACTTCACAGCATGAAGAAAATGCAACATTTTCTGAATATTGTAAACAGTGTTTCCCATGACTACCATGTCAACACCCACTTAATACAGCAGTCATATGGAGCTAAATTGGCACCATAAATATGTTCAATATTTTTGAAACTGAAAAAAAATAAATAAAAAAGATTTGAAACTTTAAAAAAAAGTTCTGAGACTTAAATAAAATTAAACATTGAAGTTAAAATAATTTTGAAACCGAGAAAAAATTTAAAAGAAAATAATTACAACTGGGGAAAAAAAAAAGAAAAATTAATCCCCAAATAATTTTGAAGCTGGAAAAAACCTTTTGAAACTGTAGATTTTTGAAAAGTTAAAAAGAAAGTAACTCCTTTCTAGATTCAATTTCCCCCCTCTATTTCAATTTATTTTTAGTTTTCTGGCCTCATTTTAGTTCCATACAGAATCTATCCAACATATAGATTCACAAAAAGGACACAAAGAAAGTCAACCGTTAAAGAAAATAATAAAGTCTTGTCCTGTTTGTGTTTTCAGTCTCTTGAGAAATATGCACCAGCTCTCTTTTGGCAAGCTAGTTGAGTTTTTAAATAAGCACCAAGTACTGATAGATAGGATAGAATACACTGTTAACGTGTGGGTTTAAGTAGATGCGTTTGTCGGTTTTCTTTTTTTGTTTGTTTTTTTATACTTTTTCCACTTGAAATATTTTGTTATGCAAAAAACCTTTTGAAACTGTAGATTTTTGAAAAGTTAAAATAAAGATTTTATGTGCATCTTTAATTAGAAAAGTAAATTTTTCTGCTTCAAGATTTAAAACCAGTTCTGTCAAATCTCGTATGACGTGTCGACACCATTTCATCCTTTTAAGAGCAAAGTAGCTATATTTGTAATTACGAGATATGCAGAAGATAAATAATTTATCTTTACCTGTTTCTATATTTTTTGATAATCAGAAAGAAGGAAATGTTGAAAATTGCTTCTGTTCCTACAAGAAATTAAAGCAACAAAAACTTTGAGGTGAGATATAGTAGCAGCATGAATGTTTCAGTGTTCATGAAAGTGCAATCCATGAGACGGTTGAGCAGTCTGAGAACATTTTATTGCAAAATATGGTTTGTTTATGGTTCACTTAATATTGCAGTCATCCAACTTTTGTATCCAAAGCAAAAGAAAATTCAATATTCACAAATGTGCTTCAACACTGCTGCCCATAAGGTTGAAAAACATTTCTTTTTATCCGTTTTTATGTAAATATATGATTATTTTTCAAAATGTTGTTGATCAAACTCTTAGAAATCCACCAGTGATTTTAATAATAAAAAGTAAATAGTCTAAAAAGCTAAAATGTTTCCGTCTTTATGGGCATCGGCATGTATTTGAGATGTGAAATGGCACATTAATCACCCTGTTTCCTTTTGGTAAAGAAGAAGCTTGTTTTCTTTATTTCATGTTTGTTTTTACTGTGCTCTAACACCATTAAATAACATTTCATAAATGAGGAAAAACAAAGCAGAGTGATAAAACTGTGCACATGAAAGCATTCCTTTGGGTAAAATGACTCCTTAAAATCCTTGGAAAAAGCAACAGAAGCAGGCCTAACCTTGTTTTTTTAACTGTAAACATTACACAAATTCAGTCACTTTGAAAATTATGCAAAAAAATAAAATACAATAAAATCTCATATCTGCTAAGACCTGCAGGTTATTAATGGCAACAATCTGACTTCTTTTTAGCGTTTTTCTTTTTTCTATTAAACCCACATTGGAAACGTTCTGAACTTCTAATTTTTCCCCACGAGTCATGATTCTTAAAACCTTTTTATATTCACGTCTGTTCATCGCCGGCTATCCAAACAACGTAAGAACCACAGGAATGATGACACTTATCTGAAACATGGTCCTGATGGCAAATAGAGCCAAAAATGTCAAAATTAAGCCAAAGATTAAACAAAACGTCTAAATATATACCAGAAACAGAGCAAAAATACATGGGATGGGCTGACCTATGACTTAAAGTCTAACTTATACAGTAATAATGAGTCAAGTTTTAAAGCAAGTGAGATTATTCTGCATGAATCTGAAATGGCAACAGACAAGTGATGTAGGTCCAATGCAGGAATCATCGTTATTCCCTCCATGTTCCCGGGACAGGAGTCAACCTGCGACAGGAAAAACACGACGCGGTTCAGGAGGAGAGACACCAAAGCTCAACAAGGTATCGTCTCAAACTCTGAGGGGAATAAAAAGTTAAATGTGATCCAAAATAATATGAAAAAGAGACGATTTCACATTAGAACCACCAGAGGCAGTAAACCTGAGCTCCATTCAGAGAAGCGTTGACTTTCTTTTGAAAACATGTATTTATCACTGATACTGTCCTGCCTAAGATACCAATGTGTTGTATCTTTATTAATTTAATTTGAAACACCAATCAAAACAAATCAGCTTTACAACTGCTGTGGTTCAAGTATTTCTAGCACAAAAATCTTAGTAAACTTGAAATAAGACAAAATTAACAAGTAACTTTTAAACTAGAAATAAAGAGTTTTCTAAAGTAAGTAATTCCTTAATATCGATGAAAAAATATCACTTCCACAAGCAGTTCATTTAACTTATAGCGAGACATTTTTTACATGTGATAAATTAATTAATCTGCCAGTACAACTAGTAAAATGTCATTTTAACAGGAAAAGAGCTTGGAGTTAACGGGATCTGACATGAACAATTCAGTTTGCATTATTGTTTCAAAAAAATCCTGCTACTGATAATTTGATGTAGATATGACAAAAAGTATTTCAATAAGTACTAAGTCCAAGGTATAACTTTGGAATATAATCAACATTGCTCAATTAATGCATTATTTTTTTGTTTTATAAATATTATGACTTTGTTCTCGTGATTTAAAAAAAGAAAGCTGCCTCTCCTCTAATGGTCAGTTGTAGCGTTGACCTGAATTAAAAGTCCAAATACACAGAAACTGTACAGCAGGCTTGTCAAACAAGATGGCTGCCATGTGCGTGCTGACACTCCAAACTACGGAAACCTACAGAGCGCATTGGTGAAAAATATTCAAGATATACATATCTCCAGGTCATTTTAAAGCGACAATTTATCACTGTGATCTAAATATCATCTCTGAAATAATTAGTTATTTCCAACTCACCCTAAACATCTGAGTGGAAATAAACAAAGCTGAGTGCACAAGTTTCAAGCTTCCAGCCCAAGCAGCTCCACGTCGAAGGTGAGAGTGGCATTTGGTGGGATGACCCCCGGGTGACCTTTGCTGCCATAGGCAAAGTCTGGGGAGCAGACAAGCTTCGCCCGCTGGCCTACGCTCATCTGTGGACAAAATGGACACAAACCTAAAAACTTCATGCCAAGTCAAAAACATACATCTGAACCAAATTACGATGCAGCCATTTCCCCAGAAAGCCAAAACAACGGCTGAAATGTAAACAAGCTACTGAATAAAACGCTGCAGTTCTGATTCCAAAAATAGATTCTAGGTTTTCAACACAACCCAGTCTACAAAGGCCGAGCTTTTCACATGTTGATTTTTTGCATCCTTTGCAAAAAATGATCAACCGTTCACTAACAGAACACTCTTATTGCATTTTTAGGCAATAAAATTGTTATTTCCTTACTTTATAGAGGAATTTAATTACTTAATCACATATTAGCAGATTTCTAATGTCTAAAAAAGGCTTAAATGAAAAACTGCATCATGTAACAATTAATCGTCAGAATAATCGATAATTAAATCATTGTTAATTGCATCTCTGCAATCTTTCAGACAACATTTTCTACTTTTTTCACTTAAATGTGAACATTTAATGCTTTTAATTTCTGGAACAGATGAAAGTTTCGATGGCACATTGTTTAAATCACAGCCTTTCATTCATGTTGCTCTGCTCTAAACTTCCCACTGCACAGCATTGACTCATCGAAAGTCGGAGGAGCAAAATGTTCCTGCGTCTCCAACCAGACTGAAGAAGAAAAGCTAATTTCTCCGTTTGGTGCTAAAAACTCCTGACAGTTACACACACACTCTTTTAATCACACGGATCTCAAACTCAAGGCCCAGAAACACCAGAGGAGCACGCAAATAGAACCTTAAAGATACCAGTTGTGTGATTTAATATTATTTTGTTGATAAAATCAACGCTGTTTTGTCCAGTACCTCCACTTTTTTGCGATTCCATTATTGTGGAAATTTATGAAAGTTTGTTGCAAATTTTCTGCAAGAATTTTCTAAACTTTTAAACATCGTCAGATTACAGTCTATGATTGAGGTGAAGAACGACAAAAAGTCAAAGCTACAGTATAAATATTGCAGAATTTCTTGCAAATACTTCTAAATTAGCACCACAAAATTAATAATTTTGATTGCAATCCTGGATAATGAATTCAATATTATTTGACCTTAAATATTTGTCGAATTCAGACACATTTATTAATATTTTAAGTTTATTGATGGGTTTTATCAAAACATTCTGACCCAACAGGCCCTTTGAGAACATTCATAATCTTAAAATCAAAATTCAAAATTATGCTGATAAAATTCTAAATAAGTTTGAAATCCCTGATATAGATATTAGGACTGAGCAACAAATCAGTAGCAATATGTATTGCTATAGACACATGATTACTATCATTAGAATCTTTAATAATTTCACTGAAATCTGATCCAGATCTGCACAGCATGCTGGGAAATGTAGGCAGATGATGCAAGAATACACAGCTACAGAATATGGAGGAAATACCATTTCATTCCTGTCATATTTTAAACCAGGGTGTTTTATGTTAATTTCCATTTACATGTTTAATTATTTTCAGAAAATTAAATTGTACTACAAGTGGAAAATGGCACACTCACACGAAAGACAATTTAGAGAGACCAATTATCTTACTAGTCATGTTTTTTAAGTGTGGGAGGAAACTCAGAAAACCTACACATGCAGAGGAAAGACATTAAATGAACATCTTGTGACAGAGCATTCTGGCTACCAGTTAAAGACCACTGTGCAGCCCATTATAAAGTTTAATGTTAATAAAAATGTGTAAACTCCATGCATTTTTTATGCAATAATCTTCTATTCTATAAAAACGGTTTTGCACTTTTTACAGTGACCTACAGGCTCACACGGCAAAATCCGGTACAAAAACCAACTATGAAACACACACAAATAAAATTAAGTGGGGCAGAAAATGGCTGTTAATGAAGAGGAAATGCTGCAAATGGTAAAACAGCAACAAGCCTGGAAACTCGCTTCACGAAAACACAAGTGCTCTAGACCAACAGGGGGAGCCTGAAGTAAATATGTTACCTTCACACATAAATATGCTACTACAATGCAATTTTGTACAAGTGTTTCTTTTTTTATACTTATTCTTTATTAGACAAGCCATACATAGTGTACAAAACAAATGAAGGTGGTACATTTGACAATATTACTGTTTTCAGAAGCGACAACATTTTGTAGCTAAGCGGAAATACACATTAAAAAAAAATTTAAAACAGCAAACTTAAGAAACTGTTTGAAAAAGGCATTAACCTTTTCTTCTGGGTATCCAGTTAAATAATGTAATCAGTCTTTTCTCTCTGTTTACATATGATTCGGCGATCGACTCCCCCTGGTGGCTTGGAAGACTTGCGTTATGTACAGTTTCACACTTGCTTATGTTTATTTCCCATTCAGGGCATTTATTATTTTGCCTCCATTTCCGTGTTGCAGCATTTTTCGTTAGCAGCGTGTTTCTGTTTGTCTCATTCATGCGCAACGCATTTCGCCTATTGTACCTGTCGGCCACCGTAGAGATTAGAAACTTTTGACACATATGAAATATGACAGATTATGACCTCCAATCAAACCAAAACAACTGTAAATAAGCCTGTTATTGTAATTAAAGTAAACAACCCGACTAAACGTCCTCAAAATGTACCAATTATGCTCATTCCGGATTTTATCAGCTGTTCTGGAGGGTTTCTCACCTGAGCTACTCCCTCTTCCCATCCTCGGATAACCTCCTGATGTCCAATCTTGAACTTAAAAGGCTTCCCTCTGGACCTCGAGGAGTCGAAAACTTTCCCATCGTCCAGGGTTCCTGGATAGAAACAGACCAGTTAGTAGTTTTTATTCAGAAGTCACCGTTAGCTAGCGCTAACAGGCTAACCTCGTAGCTTGCATCCGTTAGCTAACGGTTCAACCAAATAACCCTCCAAAGACAAAACATCTCCTTCTGTACAAACTGGAATCTGATTTAGGGTCAGAGTAAAAACGTGTTTTAACCCAAACGTAGCTTCTCTTAGCTGCAGGAAATGTGTTAGCTTCCATGCTAACCGAGATAGCCGGCGGCTCGGTCCAAGAACGTTTCGACTTGTTCGGACCTTTTTATGAACTTTGAAACCCTTAAGGACTGAATTAACACACGAAGTTAACCTAAAAACATGAAACACGCCGCGTCTGAATCTGCGAGCCTTTTCCCCACTCACCGACATAGTGCACCACGACGCGCTGCCCCTTCTTCGGGAATGTCCGTCCTAAAAATAAAACACAACAAATGAAGGTGGGGAAAGTGGGGTTTCCTTCCGAACCGTTCAGCCCAAACGAAGGAAACAGCGAAGTGTTTTCCTCACCGTCTCCAGGAGTTATCGTCTCAATTTCTACCCCCATTTTGGCGTTACTGTATTCTTTCTGTCGACCACCGCTGAGGACTGGGAGCGGAAAGAGGAGGCGTTGCGGGGTGGGAACGGATAGGAGGGGAATGCACCAAGTGCTGATGATAGCTGGGCTATCAGTGGACCCACAGGCCCGGTCCGAGCCTTTCTGGGGCCAGAAGGAGATTTTAATTTGGGCCCCTCCCCCCTGCTATCATTCCTAAGTTACTCTATACCAAATATCATAAGCATAATTTGAAATTAGCTTACATCAAAATATAACTAAACATTTGAGGGTTTTCGCTGCACAATATTTAAAAAATGTGCCGTATTTTCTGGGTTATAAGTCGCTCCGGAGTACCAGTCGCACCAGCCATAAAACTCATAATAAAGAAGGAAAAGACAAAAATATGTCACACTGGAGAAAAGTCGCATTTGGGGGGAAATTTATTGCTGGCAGTTTTTGGGACTGCGTTGCATAAACATGTTGTGCCATTATCAAAAGGGATTGTAATACATGTTTTATCATCTCTGTTACAACTTCTCTTCCATCTTTTTGTTAAGTTGCCTTTGCTAATCGTAGAACCGGAAGTGGTCCCTTCAAAATAAAAGCATCAAACGGCAAATAATATTTCAAGTTAAATTACGACAAAAAGTGCCATAAAGAGATACAAACAGGTAAAGAAATTAATTTAGGGTTACTTACAGCTACTTTGCAGGTGAGAACAGTTAAATCTACTAGAACACTGAGGAAAAAAATAAAAAAAATCTTACCAAGTATTTTTTGTCTAGTTTCTAGTGCTAATATCTTAGTACAGTTGAAATTACACAAAATGAACCTTCAAGTAATTTTTCAGCATTTTATAGGAAATAATTCCTTAATATTGATGAAAAAGTACAAGCTTCACAAGGAGATTATTTCATTTGTAACATGGGAAACATGAAAATGAAAAAATGAAAGTACATGTAGTTTTGTTTATATTTAACTGTGCCAAGATATGTGAACTAAATTAGATCAGAAATACTTGGTAAGATTTAGTGTATTTCTTTAGTGAAAGAGAGATTCCAGATAGATCAAAAATGTATCTGAAAAGATTAAATTTGAAATTGTTTGAACTTTTTCAGATTCCACCCTGACATGAAATAACAACATGGAGTTTAAACAAAGCTTAAATCATCAGCTGGTGATACAGATTTTTACAGAGAAAAGAGGCGAATCAGTGGTCATTCAGAACCACATTTACACCCAGGACACCTTGGATTGGACATGTGATTGTCCACCATCATTTCCAGGGAAACCTTCACTTCCCTCTGAGCACCAATCAGGACGGCTCATCGGTTTTTGCCACTGAGCATTGACTTGTGATAGGTTCCTGCTGTTTTTTCCATGGAGGCTGCCTGCTTCAGTTGAGGAGGTGGATAACCGGCACGGTGATGGATCACAGTTGTAAAATCCGTCTGGTTTTGGGTCATCGGGATGAGACTGCTGAGAGTTTGTTGGCAGTTCTGGTTCTGAGAGCTCCCTTTGGTCTGCTGGTGATGAAGACGCTTTATTGCTTTTGCATAAGATAAAAATAAAAACATTTTCTATTCAGCTTAGTGTTAGAACCAAGGAGTTAAATCAAATTAACACGTTTTTAACGGTACAATAGTGTTTTATGCCTTTTTTGACATTTTCATTTCAGTTTTTTATTGTTCTCTGTTTTACATGACGTGTTTTGGGTATTTGTGGCTTTAAAGCAGCAACAGCATCATTTTTAAACCAGATCAACCATTTTCATGTTCACTGAAGTTGGTACTTTCTAATTGTACTTGGAAGTGAAATTTTCTGTCCTCTAAGGTGGAAAATTAAAAATGAACATAATTTGAATTTACAATGTTGTCTCACACTCCAATATGGCTGCCACATGTATGAAACAGTGAAAGTTATTTCTATAGCTGGGCGATAGAGCTTAAAAATAAAATGTCTAGTTTTTTATGTCACATCTGTTTTATGAAAGGAAATTACAGAAAATATTGTCAAAAAGAGGCTTTTATTTTGCCAGACTGTGAATTTTTTTCTACTAAAATATAGTCATAATATTAGCAGAATAAGATGGTAAAGAAAGTTGTTTCAATTGGAAACAAGCTTAATTATTGATGGATGTGGACGACTCGGCCCATATACGCCTTTCTTTGAAATAGACTCAGTTTGCATGATTGTTTCAAATTATTACTGATATTTAATCTTTCATCACATCAGCATCAAATTATTATCGGTAATAATTTGAAACAATCATGCAAACAAGTTGTGAATTTGTACATTAGGCTTAATACTTATAGAAATACTTCATCTTTAATCACATCAGCATCAAATTATTATTTCTAAAAGTATTAAACCTAATGTATAAATTCACAAGATGCTCATTCCTTATTTTTATTTTTGTGTAAATTCTATTAAAATTAATGTTTTATTTTCCTAATGTTACAGCCTTATTTGGGTAATATAACATCTTTAGTTGTTTTATTTGTACTGTATTTTTGTAAATCGTAGCCTGACCCTAATACTCCATTGCAGATGATGGCGGCATTAGGTACACTGACATCACTATAAAATGAATACATTGGTAAAAAAATATATATATGATTTTCTAAAACTTACCTAAAAAAACATACATTTGATTAATTGGCAAAACCAATTATCACCTAGCATTTAGCATTTTTGCAATTTCATACTTTTGCAGCTCTACATATAGTTTTATATCTGACTTTCTCTAGCAGGAACTGCTAAAGTTTGCTGGCCAAACCAAACAACTCAAATTAAAACCAAATTTCCTCACATTTGAAAAGTCGAAGTCGAGCGTACTGAAGTAGCTAAAACTTAAAAAGTGCACCAAACCTGACCTCTAACACAATATTGTTTAGAACAGTATCAACACAATTTGATGCACAATAAAGAAAAATATTTAAAGACATTTATAAAAAGCCTCATACTTTCAGCTCTAAGCCTTTCCTCTTGTTGACTGGGTAGATGTGAAAGATTCCCCTCCCAATCAGCAGAAGTGCGATGGCAGCTGGAGAAAACAGCACAACCAGAGCTGTCTCTACTTCATCGCCAAGGTTGCACAAACCTGCTTTGTAACCTGCAACCCTGCAGACAAGCAGATAGAAAATACAAAACAATTTGCACGAATAAAAAATGCAGAGACTGAATAGAGGTGATACTCACTGTAGTGTAAACTGTGTGTAAACAATTAAATAGTTTCCTCATGATGACCAACTGCTTTTACACTTTCCAGTCTGGTTTTCATGCTCACCACAGCACGGAGACTGCCCTCGTAAAAGTATTCAATGATATCCATATAAATACGGACTGTGGGAGAACCACGGTGCTGGTTCTGTTGGACCTCAGTGCAGCTTTTGACACTGTTGACCATAACATATTACTGAATCGACTGGAGAGTTGGGTTGGACTCTGGTTCGGTGCTCGACTGGTTTGAATCTTACATAAAGAACAGGGATTTCTTTGTTTCAATTGAAAACTTCTTATCAAAGAGGTCAAAGGTCACATGTGGGGTACCCCAAGGTTCAGTCCTAGGACCCCTCTTATTTTATATTTATATTCTCCCACTAGCTCAGGTTATAACAGGAAATAATATTAGCTACCATAACTATGCGGATGACACACAGCTCTACATTACGATGTCACCAGGTGACTCTGAACCCATCCAATCACTGAATAAATGCTTAGAGCAGATAAATGTGGGATGTGCCAAAACTTTCTCCAACTGAACAAAAACAAAACTGAAGTCATTATTTTTGGACCTAAAAGGAACGATCTAAAGTCAATGCACAGCTTCAGTTATTACAACTAAAACCTGGCGATCAGGCCGAAACCTGGGAGTAGTGATGGACTCGGACTTGAACCTCGAGCCACATAAAGACAGTACAAAATCGGCCTTCTATCACCTGAAGAACATCTCCAGGATTAGAGGACTAATGTCTCAGCCAGATCTAGAGAAACTCATTCATGCGTTTGTCTTTAGTCACATTGATTATTGTAACAGCGTCTTCACAGGCCTGTCCAACAGATCAATCAAACAGCTGCAGCTGATCTAGAAGCTGCTGCTGCTCCTGTTCTCACTAGAACCAGGAAAATAGAGACATAACACCAGTTTTAAAGTCCCTCCACTGGCTCCCTGTAGCTCAAAGAATAGATTTTAAAATACTGTTGTTAGTTTACAAATCACTGAATGGTTTAGCACCACAATACATCAAAGATCTGCTGTTGTTGTATCAACCTTCCAGACTCTCAGGTCTTCTGGTTCTGGTCTGCTCTGCATCTCCAGAACCAGAACCAAGAGAGGAGAAGCAGCTTTCAGCATCTATGCACCAAAACTTTGGAACAAACTTCCAGAAAACTGTAAAACAGCGGAAACCCTGACTTCTTTTAAATCGCAACTAAAAACACACCTGTTTAGAATTGTTTTGAAACATAATATGTAACAATGTATTGTCAATTATATGTTGAATGACTTTGTGTTCTTGTGTTTATGATGTAAAGCACTTTGAAATGTCTTGCTGAAATGTGCTATACAAATAAAATTTGATTGATTGATTGATTGATTGTAGTATCATGGTTGACAGTCCCACAGAGAGCCCTCCAGCCAGCTTACTGCAGAAAGCAAAACCGGAGAAAAACAGAGGCTCCTGGTCTTTAAACGAGAAACGTCTCAAAGCAAAGTCGTCAATCACATCAGGAAGCATTGACCTGCATAAATAGGGCATAAAATTACATCTCTGTTTCAGGGAAGGCTGAAAAACTAAGTTTCTGTGGCTGGTTCGGCAGACGTGATGAATAATTCATTCGGTTTTCATACAAATTAGATCTGACAGGCGTTGGAAATGATTTTAGAGTTTTGATTTCGCCGGGCGGTTGACTCACCAAGGCAGCAGGAACACGGTCACCACGGTGAGTGCCATCAAGATGCACATGGTCAGGAAAACCGGAAGGCTGCTGGGAACGCAGGCAACTGTGATCACGGCTGGGATGAAGAGCTGCAAGAGAAAACAAGAGACTTTTAGAGACAACAAGAAACACTAAATATGCAGGTAACTATAAAAGACTTACGGAAAGTCCAATGGAAAGAGTGGACTTTTTTCCAATTTTCAGAAGGACAAATTGCCAGAGTGGAACTGCTACTGAAGCAGAAATCTAAGGGAGCTGTGGAAAAAACAATATCTAATCTGTAGTAACAGATCAGGCTTGAGACTCTGGCAAATGGCAAAGAGCAAAATCTTTATTTCAGTCGTTTGCAAACGGAGAACACACAGTAACCACAGCACAACAGCTGTACCTACAATGAGTTCTGATTTGGAGCTGCAAGCTCTCACAATATATAGGACTCTCTATACAATGTGGTCACTGCCTGGCCCAGAGCCAGTCGAACAGGTTAATGCACAGTCACTCTTAACAGGGTATAGAGAGTGCAACATCCATTCTTAGGGTAAGTTAATTGTTCAGATGATAAACATCTTTATTCCAAAATAGGTGCATATCCAAAAATCAGGTTTACTAATGGAACAATTTTGCATAACAAGAACATTATCAGACTTTGTACGTTCACTCAGCACATAGCCTTAGCTTGTGACATTTTAATGGAGGAATTTGTTAAGCCTGAGGGTTTATTTCATCTCACTACAATTACCTAACCTGTTTATTGTTAACACTGACGCCTGATTTTAGTTACCGACAACCTACTGAAACTTTTCCAAGGAGAGGTTAAAAGGAAACCTATCTAACTGATTCTTTAAAGACTCCTTGACCTACATGGTTTAACAGACTAAACAATACTAGTGTTAAATGACTAAAGAGATAAATAAAATTCTTAAAAGAAATAATAACACAATTTTTACTTCACAGAGCTTAAAATTTTTTTTAAACGCACAAATAAAAAGTAAAATTTCATAAAATTAAGTTAAAATCAACTTCAATTTTACCAAGAGAACCAGCAAGAGGAGCTGAAAATGAGCTCCTAGTCCGGCAGCATGACTGCAAAACAAGGCAAAGTTTCCCAAACACATCTGAAATTAAACAAAAGGAGAAGAAAAACTTATCGGACTTTCAGCTTGAAAAAAAATAACATGTAAAAAGTAAGATATATAAAAGGAAAGGGGCAAGATTAAATAAGTTTATACTTCTTCCTACCTCTTCTTCAAACAAATATTATGGTATTTGAAGTGTGAATTTGAATATGTTTGAAATAATCCAACTTTTTTGTTAGCTAAGCAGAGCTAAGCTAACAAAAAGTTAAATAGAAATGAGTGGCGATCCTAAACTGTACCTGAAAGGCAAGAAAACTGAAAACAAAGCCGAGAACGAGTCGCTGATACGGAACGCTGAGCATCTTGAGGGAGCTCAGATAGGACGGACGGGTTCGTTCATCAGCATCTGGAGAAACAAAAAGATACGTATCAACCTGAATTATGGTCACAAAAAGACGGAATCACTGAAATGTACTGAAATCTGAAATCATTTAAAAACTGTTAAAACAACAACATGGGGCCAGGATAGTCTGGATTCTCCCAAATTAGATAAAGCTTCATTTGAAAACTGTTTTATATTTAGAAGTGTCATTTTTGTCAATTAAAATTTTGTCTTGTTACAAAAACCAAATGGCACTTTAATGAGCATCTTATTTGCGGTATCTGAATACTGACCGGGTCGGACTGACTTGTGCCGCTGCTCCCTCACACTGAAGAACAGAACCAGGCTGCAGAGGAGGAACAAGCCACCTGTGACCCCGGCTGAGGTCAGGAAAGCCTTTCGCTGGAGGCCAAGTAAACACCAAGAAGTGTATCTCATAAGTAATTCATGTTTTGCTGGCTCCTAAGATGTTAAGAGCTTCTTTTAAATAAATGATTACTTAATATTGATTAACAAATACTAGTTCTGCTTTTCACAAAAAAATTTACCAACCTGTAAGTGAAATATTAATAAGATATTAGTACTAATAATATCTTGAAAAGGTTATGTGTTTTTTTTCATAAACATTAATGAATTATTTACATAAAAAGTTTATATATTTTGTTGAAAAGTTACTTGTTAAAGTTACTTTTGCCTTATTTTGTGTGTTTGCACTAGAAACTAGACAAAAATACTCATTTTTGCAGTGTTTTGGTTCTGACATTTAATGAAGAGCACAAAATATTGTATTTTTCAGTATTTGACCTGTGGATCAAAGCAGGTTGATTTCTGCCTTTCAAGATTTTCTTCTAATTCTTGTGCAGCTTCCATGAAACCCAAATGACTTTTTAATGCACATTTCTCTTAAGTGAAAGTATAAACGGTTTGTATTACTACAATATCTGTAGGAATAATACCTGAACAAGCAGCGTCGCCTTCGTCCAGCCAAATAAAAGTAAATTACAGGGTAACAAGATCTTCCTGGGACATTGTGAGTATAATAAAAGCTCAAAGTTGCCGAGCCTGTTTTATAAATATTAGTTTAAGCTCGTCTCTGTTTTAATGTTTCAGTACCGTTTCATGCAGAGAGGCAGTCTCCGGCGCGGATGAGCTGTGAGGTGTCTGATGGACCTGGTCCAGATGCTCACAGGCCTCCTGCTTCTCAGCGTTGAACATGGACACAACTTTCCCCTGAATCACTGACACCAGCAGCAACGCCGTCATCTCCACGCCCATTCCTGGAGGAAAACACCACAAGCGCACACAAAAGTCTGGAGTGAACCCAGTAGGTGACAACATCCCAGTCAAAACTACCAGCGTGACGTCATGTGGAAAAGGTGAATAGTCTTTAAAATTCACCTAAAAAAAAGGTTGTAGACTCCTGAGCTACAGTCACTATTATTCATCGGAGATAACGCAACAAGACCTAATCCTCCAAATTCTTCTAGTGATGAAGTAATAGTCAAAAAATGCTCACAAGCTCAGCAAGAGAAGAAACTACAGCGATTCTAGTCTGAACAAACCACAACACTCTTCGGTGTGTATGTTATTACTGTGGAAAGACAACTCAAAGTTTCCTACGATCAGTTCAGTGAGGTATGGTAAAGTTGTTCACATTTTTTCCCGTCTCTGGTTAAATTGCGAAGGATAAAGTGTACCAGTAAAGGTGACAAAGTTGCTTTTCGCCAATTTGACTGGGCTATATAAACATTTTCAGATGCAGCCCAGTGGCTCTGAGATTTTAGAGTGATTGCGGTTCCTCTTACTGTAGGCAGTGGCAGAGTCTCTGTCCCTCTGACGTCCTCCCAGGGACATGCTCAGCGAGACGTAGGGGACGTTGTAGCACTGCTCACAGACAACAGGAGGAAAACACAACACCAGCTGACTCGGTGACCATAGCGAAGAAGCTCCCAGAGAAATAACAGCACTTCCTGTCGCCACAGTGACGGGGGAAAGATTGAGATGAGAAAATGAAGGACGGCGGAGCAAAACAGAGATCGAAACCACGATTCTCAACTAACAAAATACTTACCCTCTGTTATTATTTTTATTTTATTTTAATATTTAATTAATGAGAGGCAATATCACTTAAACAGCTTAATTTGGAGCTTAAATTACCCATAAACTAAAATATTACAGTGGCTCCAAACAGATCTCCGCTCTATCTACTGAGCTAAATATGGTGACTTTTTTCTTTAATTTCCAGATCTCTGTGTTAAAAAACTGCCTAGCGACTTTCCACTTAATAAACTAGATATGTGATATAAAACAAGTTTTAAGCATTGAAAAGCTTTAAAACCATAGGACCTGCGTGAACCTTTGGACCTGGATTTTAGAAAGTAAGAAAGTTAGCCACACGTACAATGTCAGATTGACAAAGCTTGTTTCATCAACTTACAATTGCAAGCAAATAAATCTCTAAAGAAATGTCAAATAAAAAAATTTAGTGGGAATGAAACATGTATGCTCAGTATGAGGGATTGCTCTGCAGAGGGGCCTGCCCAGGGCACCATTCCTGTTAGCACCACCACTGTCTCTGACAGTAAGTTCTCTGTTGATAGAGTCCTAATCAGGAAATAAAGTTCAGTTAGCTCAGAAACATCAGAACGACAAGACGTTTGTGATTTTAAGTCCTAGCTGAACGTTTAAACAAGACCTGTTGACTTACATTTGCATAAATTGATCAAAAATAACGAAAAATGTTTCAGAAAACTTTATTGTAAAAAATTTAATTAGCAATTTATGAATAAACTTATATTATTTCAAGGCGGATTAAAAGAGCCAGAAAATTTGGAGAGTGAAAAGTTTTAATAAATTAATGATACATTTGTGTAAGTACTTCATAAGTTATTTATTGATATTTGGCACTTTTCACTCTCCACTGGAGCAACAGTTCAGTATTAAGCTTTCAGGGAAACATATATTAGAAACATATTTCTATATTTTCACATGTTTTCTAAATTAGTGTGTTAGAAATAAACTTCCTTGTTCTTGGAAAAATGTAAATTTCAAAACTTAAAAATGAACATTTTCTCCATCCTAAATTATAACATACAAAAGTAAAATTGTACCGTTTCTTTAAATTATTATAAAAATATATTAGGGTTAGATGATGAATAAAATCTATGGCGCTATTAACATGAGGTTGAGATTTGGACTGTTTTTTTCTCTTTTCTTTTGCAGGTGGGCAGGTTTTATGGTGGAAACTGTCAAATCTGGCAACCCGTCAATGACGCCATGTTTGTGTGAGGCGCATGCGCCATGCTGGATATAAATTTGGCGCACTTTCGACGTCAGCGTTTAAATTAAGGCGCGTCCTGCACCTGACCCCACGAAGACAAGAAACCAGCGTTCAGATATCCGTCCTGGGATTACAAAATGGTATTTTCTGATTTCAAAAGACGCAGAATCCGCGTGGATGCCAAACCTAAATGATTCAAAACTTTTGCAGATCGATTTGAAATAATCTCGGTGTTGATGGGGCCTGCCTGCGGAGGGATCTGGGAGAGTGGGGAGGCCGCAAGAACGCCATGTTTGAAATGGCTGCATTTGTTAGTTGGTAAGTTATTTTTCAGAAACCTTATTCGAAGTTGTTGTTTTTCCCTCTGAAGTTATTGATACCATTTTTTCGTGGTTAAACAGAGCAGCATACGAGGAGCGACAGGAACATGGCGTCTCTGCGGCGGATTGTTTGGCCGGAAAATATGGCGTCTGGAACTAGCAGCAGATCGATTATGGCTATATTAAGAAGATCTTCAATGAAGCTGAGGATCGCTTCCGTCAAGCTGAGGAATCGCTACAAGGTGCCTGGCGGATCCGCCCAACCCGTCAAAGGTTTGTTAAATCTGTCAAGAACTGTTCCAATGGCGGGTCCAGAAGACATCTCAGGGTAGGAGCTGTTGCGGGTTTTGCTGTGCTGTTCTTGAAGGCCAACGCTCGGCCTCTTGGTTTACTGGTTAGGTTTGATTCTCTCAATGAGTTGAGAAGGATTCTGCTTTAGGGTTATGTGTGCTGTTTGAAACAGCTGCTGTGGTCATGTGACCTGTAGAGGTTTATGCCATCTGGGATTTTGGAAATTCAAGTTCATAGCTGAAGTTATTCAGCTTAGAAAACATTGACAACATGCCTACATATTAGTGATCATTTTTACATACCTTTTTTTATTTTTTGTATCTAACATTTGAAATTTAATCAAATATTTCAAAGATAGGGTCCATACTTTAATAATTCAAAAGTCAAACAAATTTCATTTACGTTCAATAATATAAATTCAAGCGTGAAAATCGTGATTTTATTTTGGCTTCAAAACTTGCGGCGTTGCGATATTTCATTTCTTCTGGACGACTCGTGGACTCCTGCAATTTCATTTCTTCTGGAGGACGATGGTCAACAGATCTGGAGCTGCAGGTCAGAGGTAATGTATTCACTAATCCACCATCTTGTCTTTGCAGGTTTTCAGCTGAAATTAACTCCCATATTTTTCTTGCAGAGATGATGCACTGGATCGCGTCTTCAAGTGTTTGCAAATGTTTTTAACAGTTTTTTTTCCTAGATAAAGCTTCTGGCTGACTTTGTGTTGCATCTAACTTATTTTTTTTCTCATAGATAAGCCAGTAAAGGAGTTTCTACTGAAACTAAATCTTTAATTTCTCCTTTAGAAATGTTCCTGGAGCAGTTCTTTCTTTTTGTGTTTCTCTCTCTGTCCTTTCAAATCCCCCGGGGTTAGTGACAGATGGCCTTTCTTTCACAGCCAACTTCTGGTTCTGCTGGAGGTTTCTTCCTGTTAAAGGGAAGTTTTTCCTCCCCACTGTCACTACATACATCCTCAATATGAGGCATTGCTTTAGTTTACTTAATATTTAACCAATTAAATAATTGGTACAGTGTTCACATTTTTTGATAGTCTTCCTGTTCAAGGGAAGTTCTTCTAAATTGTCACCACAGCTATGCTCAATATGAGGCTTTGCTTAAGCTTATGTAACCATTAGCCAGCGCTTGATTATCGGTTTATTTTTTTTTTTGATGGTCTTCCTGTTAAAGGGAAATTTTCCTCCACACACTCACCACATTGATCCTAAGTATGAGACATTGCCTAAGCTTTCTTGCACAACTTTAAACCAATTCAAATTATTGGTACAGTCTGAACTTTTTTTTTTTTTTGAAAGTCTTCCTGTTAAAAGGAAGCTTTTCCTCTCCACGGTCACCACATGAATTCTCAACAAGAGGCATTGCGTAAGATTTCATAACTTTTAACCGGTTTATTTATTTTGGAAAGTCTTCCTGTTAAAGGGAAGTTTTTCCTTTCAATGGTCATGACATGCATGTTCAGTATTAGATGTTTCACAAGCTTGTATAACTTTTAACCAATTTAAATCTGTTCAGTGAGATCTTTTTGGAAAGTCTTCCTGTTAAAAGGAAGTTTTTTGTTTCCACTGTCGCCACATGGATCCTCAATGTGACGAATGGCTTAAGCTTACTTACTTTACAAAACAATCTTAAATAACTGCTACAGTGTGAACTTAAATGTTTTAATTTTTTTGTGGGGAAAGTCGTCCTGTTAAAAGGAAGATTTTCCTTTAAGCTTTCTCCATATAATTCCTCAATATGAAGAATGGCTTAAGCTTGCGTAACTTGATAAGTGTTTTTTTTTTTTTTCTTTTTGTGGTAACGTCTTCCTGTTAAAGGGAAGGTTTTCCTTTCCACTGTCACCACACGCCTCCTCAGGATGCCTGTAATGGAGGATAATTTTGAGCTCATTGTTGCAAATATAAGGCCTTGTTAATACCACATGGTAAATGAACTGAGAAGATGGAGGCTGATCAGCAGTTTTTGTTGAGATGGAGACTCTGAAGTCCAGATGGGGTTAGGCTGGTTGGAAATATGGATGTGAACAAGGCTGCTAGGGCACTGGATTGTGAACCCAGTGCCAGGAAATGTGGTTTGCTCCTTCCTGTAGCCACTCCTTAAGGCTTGAAGTTGTGGGATAAGTTTATGGACATTGGGAGCAAACGTACAACAAAGTCATCGGACGAGTTTATGGGTATTGGTAGCAAACATGTACAGCAAAGTCATCGGACGAGTTTATGGGTATTGGTAGCAAACATGTACAGCAAAGTCATCGGACGAGTTCATGGACACTGGTAGCAAACGTACAACAAAGTCATCGGACGAGTTCATGGACACTGGTAGCAAACGTGTACAACAAAGTCATCGGACGAGTTCATGGACACTGGTAGCAAACGTGTACAACAAAGTCATCGGACGAGTTCATGGACACTGGTAGCAAACGTACAACAAAGTCATCGGACGAGTTCATGGACACTGGTAGCAAATGTGTACAACAAAGTCATCGAATAAGTTCATGGACACTGGTAGCAAATGTGTACAACAAAGTCATCAGACGAGTTCATGGACACTGGTAGCAAATGTGTACAACAAAGTCATCGAATAAGTTCATGGACACTGGTAGCAAATGTGTACAACAAAGTCATCAGACGAGTTCATGGACACTGGTAGCAAATGTGTACAACAAAGTCATCGGACGAGTTCATGGACACTGGTAGCAAACGTACAACAAAGTCATCGAATGAGTTCAAGGAATTTGGTAACAAAGGTAGGTATTTTGGTCTTAGGTACAACAACCAGAACTTTCATTTGTTCAACGCAGGTAGAAAAAACATGGTAGGCTATATGAAAGTTCAAGACCAGAACGGGTCTTGAATTCTTTGGTTTGTGATGAAATGTGTAACGAACCCATAGGGAAAAGTGTTTCAGACAGGTTTCAGGGTTTGACCTGAAACCCAGGCCCGTCCTGTTCTTCAGAAATCCTCCTGGATTCTGATTTCGCACTACAACCCTCCATTGACAGACGGAAAGGTCCTTAGCCACCCCACTGATGGATGACGTCAGTGACTTCACCATCACCCTCAACAGTCTTCCTCAAGTGCTGCAGGTATTTTGCTGTTAAGTGGCATTTGCTAGTGTGACTTTTTGAAATGTGATTTCATTGAGTTGATAATAGGTTGACCTTGAACCCACACGTTTTGTTCTTCAGGAATCCTCTTGGATCATCTTATCATCTCTGATTTTGCCCTTCAATGATCCTCCATTGACGGATGGAAAAGCCCTTCACAACCCTGCTGATGGATGACCTTAGTGACCTCTGGGAGCTTACCACGGGGCTCAGCAAGTTTTCTGGAGGAAACCCAGGAAGTGTTCTCAGGTGAACATGTAAGGAAGATTCTTCCTGATCCAGTTTTCCAATTTGACCTGAAAATTTCTCAGCAGTTTTTCTCAAGAAATGCTTCTCTGCTGTGAAGTGAGTTTTTTAAAAGTGACGATTTTAAACCTGCACCCTGCCTGTTGTCTTCCTGTCCCGTTGTCCTTAAGGAATCTTTCTGGATCATCTCGTTTCATCTCTGATTTCACCCTTCATCGACCCTCCATTGACAGGCGGAAAAGGCCTTCACCATCATACCATCAGGCCCAGCAGTCTTCAAGTAGGTATTTTAAGTGATATTTACAAATGAGTAACGATTTAATTCTGAGTTAAAGGGTTTTGACCTGAAAACTACATCCGTCTTCTCTTTCAGGGATCCTCCAGGATTATCTACTCATCCTTCATCGCTCCTTCATCGGTGATGGATGGACTTTTTTTTGTTTTTTTTTGAGACAATTATGTACAGAGACTTTATAATTTTTTTTTATATTTTGGGTATTTAAAATGTCTTAATGCTATTCTGGTCTAACTCTATATCCTGCTGTATGTTTGGGTTACTGGAGGTTTTCTATTCTCTCCATAGAAGCTACACCTGGTCCGGTGTTCTGATTGGCTGTGGTTTCTTCCCGGAGGAGGGCATTGGCTGACATGATGTTGGCATCACCCAACTGTTCTTCTTCTCCCAGTGTTAACTCTTCACATCCATGAACATGGAAAGTTCTCCTAATCAGTTCACCTGCTGTGTTTCTGTTCTGTTTTCTCTCAGCTCCAGTCGGACATAGCAGATGGAAACTGGTACCGAGCCCGGTTCCGGTTCTGCTGGAGTTTTCTTCCTGTTCGAGAGGGAGTTCTTCCTCTCCACTGTCACCAAATGCATGCGCAGTATGAAGGTTTGCTGTAAAGTCAACGACTCAACTCGGGTGATTTGCTGTCGCCCCCTGCTGACTGGGAGGAGTGAATGCTGTAAGCAATGACTTCTTACAAGTCTGCTGGATTTCCTTTGATACAAATTTTATAAACTTCTTTAATAATTAACTGGGCTTAATGTACTGTTAAATAACAATTGAAATAGTTTTAGCTCAGTCACTTTGAGCATTGAGATGACATTTGTTGTGAATTGGCACAATATAAAATGTAAATAAAAAAAAAAAACCAAAAAACACTTAAACCAAGAACCAATGCAAAAAAACCGTTCAAAACGCCGACAACCAATACAAAAAACCCGTTCAAAACGCCAATAGCAATGCAAAAAACGTTCAAAACGCCGACAACCAATACAAAAAACGTTCAAAACGCCGATAGCCAATGCAAAAAAAACTTAAAAAAAGTCAATTCACAACAATGTTAAGGCATTTTACAGAAAGTAATATAAATTCACTCATAAATTCCAATTGACTCTAATTATCAATGCATTAGGTTCAGTTTTTTATTGAAGTAGTTTTAGTTTGTATCAAAGGAAATCCAGCAGATTGTATGAAGTCATTGCTTACAGCATTCACTCCTCCCGGCCAGCAGGGGGCGACAGCAAATCACCCGAGTTGACTCGTTGACTTTACAGCAAACCTTCATACTGTGCATGCATTTGGTGACAGTGGAGAGGAAGAACTCCCTCTCGAACAGGAAGAAACCTCCAGCAGAACCGGAACCAGGCTCGGTACCAGCTTCCATCTGCTATGGCCGACTGGAGGTGACAGAAAACAGAACAGAAACACAGCAGGTGAACTGATTAGGAGAACTTTCCATGTTCATGGATGTGAAGAGTTAACACTGGGAGAAGGAGAACGGTTGGGTGATGGCAACATCATGTCAGCCAATGCCCTCCTCCGGGAAGAAACCACAGCCAATCAGAACACCGGACCAGGTGTAGCTTCAATGGAGAGAAAAATAACATTTTATACCAATAGTACAATTCATGTTGACGGGTTTGGTTCTCCGACTCACTGTTCAGTTTGACCCTACATGTAATAAAACTTTGTAATTCATCTTACACAATGTCAGTCAATGTCTGTAAGGAAAGGAACTTGAATAAACCAACAGAACCAGAACCAAGCTGACTGAAGGAAGCCATTTTACACCGGTTAATTCTGTTGGGTCTTCAATAGAGCGCCACCTTCAGGTCTCTCTCCAGATCAGTTAAATTGTTTCTGGTTTTATTTTTTCCCCTCCGTGGGCTGCCGCCTTATCGTGGTGGAGGGGTTTGAATGTCCTAGAGATCCTGGGAGCCGTCAGAGGCTTCATGGCTCTGGTTGGGTTGGTCCAACGGGAAAACGGCTCCTTGGGGAGAGATCGGACCAAGAGCAGCCCAGAGACCGATTAGAGATATCCACAGAGTTCCCGAGTTGATCTGGAACTATAGATCTGGCTTAGATCTATAGATGGAGTTCTGGTTATAATTGGAACAATAGACAGAAGTCAAGGTTTTCCAGAGTTCCAGTGTGAGGTTTTAATAACTTCGTTCTGAGTCGTTAAAGATCTGAAACCTCGACCCGTCTTGCTGTCGCCGTCCTGGTTCGTCTCGTTTCAGTCTGATTTTTTTTTTTTCCTCTGCAGTTTCAGGACTAAAACGGATCCTGTCTGCATAAATCTATTGAATCAACTGTATGCAGGGTCTCTGCTGCCAGTAACGTACGTTTGGTTTTTGGTATTTCCAGTTCTTGGAGAAAATAACTGCAGCTCTGGTTGGCTTGTCACAGTAATCAAATCAATTAATCACATAAATTTTCCATTGACATGATTTTTCTTTTTACCAAAACCTGGATGAATAAAATCTTCAAGTGTTAAACCTTTTGTTTCAAAGGATAGTTTTGTTTAAAGATTTCATAATTACTTTTATTTGTAGTTTTTGTTTTGGATGTTTTAAATCCCTTTGAGTTCTAGTTTTAAAGTTCATTAGAATTTAAAATTTTGAGAATTTGTTCTTGCATTATTATGCCATTACCATTATTAGTTTAAAATGGCATTAAAAACAATATCATTTATTGAAATAACTTCTGGAAACATTTATGGTGAGGTTTTCACTATAGGTTTTTCTGGACAATTCTCCAAAGTTGATGTAATAAATGCTAAAATTGTTTTACTATTTTCAACTCTTATAAAGGCAATAGCATAAGAACACATTCTCAAAGATCAGTAAACTTGAATGTCTGACAATAACAATGTTATTCCTGAAGTCTCTGTTTAATGTTGTTTCTTTGACATTCTCTCCAGTTTCATTTTTTGGGTCTTAGATGTTTAATGTTAAGGTAACGGGTAAACTTTTTCTGGAGATAAAGTTTGACATCCCAGTTAAGATGAACATCGTAATAATGTTAAACATCAAGGACTAAACTTTGGAGATTAAATAAAAAATTATGAACGTTAATATTATGGAGGCCAAAAATATCTCCAGTCATTCTGCCAGGTTTTTTTTTGCATTTACCATAAAAATTATGAACGATATAATAAATGTCCATCTCTAATGGAAGCTTTTTAAACTACTTATGATAATAAACTGAGTTTATCTGGAATCAATTGGAATGTTTGAGTGGGTGGAAATTATTGTTTTTGTATGAATAAACTGAATTTTATTGAAAATGTGAAAAGCTAAGGCTATATAAAAGAAACAGCTGACCTCTGACTGTAGAGATGAAATATGTAGAAAATAAAGGAAATTTAAGTAAATTTATCCTTGTTACTGTTGATATTTTTTGGCATGTGTGAATTTTATGAATCAAATTTAAGGTTTCCCTCAAAACTTGTAAAGCCTGGTGGTAATCTATTCATGTTTTTGAGTCAAATGTTTAAAGTTGACGAAAATGTGACCATATTTGTGTTATGATACCTGATCAACTATAAAGTCTTAAAATCCGAACATCAGTAAAATCTAAAATGAAGAAACGATGCTAAGCACAAGTAAAGCCTGGTGGTCCGCCAGGCTTATCAAGCTTTCATGTTTGAGTCAATTTGTACTCGTGTGCCTTGAAGTTGATCCTTGAGGAGAAAAAGTTATTGGAAACTGAAGATATTTACATTCATGAGCGTCTCGAACAGGCAGGCTGCTGTGAGGAACCACAAGACGCAGGTGGCCTCCGACATGGAGTCTGCAGGAACAAACCACAGCAGCACGTAGGACAGGATGGCAAACGGAGTGGAAACAACCAACCTGCCAGACCAAAAGGTTGAAGGTTCAAATCCCGGACGTCCAACTCCAACAGAGCTACAATCCTGCAGCTTTCAGAAGCGTCCCTGATGTGACGGATGTCTCTGAAAGCTGCAGGATTGTGGCTCTCAGGAACTGAAAAATGGCAGAACATTTCCAGAATAAGTGGTTTAGAAGTGAATCAGCAGCTGACTGACCATGGTGTGAGTTTGCCGATGGGTGTCCAGGTACTGCGGGTCACCAGTATCCAACCAGAGGGTCAGTCACGGCGTCCCAGACCCGACTGAGAAACAGGATCAAAGATACAGAGGAGGCCTTCAACTGGGCAGAAATAAAAGAATTAATGGTACATAACTTTAATAGATGTGTGAAAACCATTAAAACAACATCCATCCTTTATTTTTGTGACACATTTTAAGATGACAATGCAAAAACTGAAAATCGTACCAAGTACCTTTGGTTCAGTTTACAGTGGAAATGTCTTACTACAATTCAAATGAGATAAAACTGACTTGGAAGTAACTTTTCAGCAAAATATACAGGAACAACATTGAAATAATCTGTCAGTGGATCAAGTATTTTTGGAGTGAAGAGGCACTACAAAATTGTTGCAAAAAAACCCAAAACTAATTGAGAATAAAAGTGCTGATATCTTGGAGTTTTTCCCAAAAGGTGAGGATAAAACGTTCCATTTTTGTGTTAACAGGTAAAACTTTCACCTGTACAACATCCAGCAGGAAAATCTGCAGTGAAATCCCGATGGCAGCAGATGTGATCTGATGTGGGACGCCTCCGACGGCGTAGCAGATCTTCCTCCTCAGAGGGATCCGCCCTGATCCCTGAGGACCAGGAGGTTCAACCTGCACCAAGAAAAAACAGTATCACATATTTGTTAAAACTGTCACTGTGACCTCACAGTGTAACATGAGACAGATAATCTGAGAAAAGAAAACAATTCTGCCTCCTCCCAGTGATGACTAGAACAACCAATCAGAGCCAAGAGGAGGGTCTTAGCGCTGCCAATCATCCTTATGAAAAAAAAACTTGGGGATGTCCGAACATGGCTTCACATCCGCTTTAATAAAACTGTAGTTTGTCTCTCTAGAAAGTCCGGTTCATTGGGGAATAAGCAGTCAGAACACTGAAGCGGACCAAAACCAGGAAGTGGGCAGAGCATTCTGGGTAAATAAATTCCAAATGTTGCAATCAAACCAAGATTACTGGACTAAGGTGTGGAGACAACCACCGCAAACTCCATAAAGACATAAATGAAAGGTTTTAGAACCTCCTGAGTTGAGATCTGAACCCGATACAAGATCTTTAAGCCTAATTAGAACCAGGCCTTCCTGTCCAGCATCAGTGTCTGACCTCACTGTTGTGCTTTGGGAAGAATAGTCAGAAATCCCCATCAACACTTTATTAAGCTTTGTGGGCAGTCTGCACTGAAGAGAGCTGGGATAAAGCAAACAAAAATAGCTTCACATTATGACTGCTAAATAAAACGGTCAATTTCCTTAATCAATGCAAAACTGGTGCAGTTATCAATCTGACGTGTGAATTCAAGCATTAAGCCGACTATCAGCACAAGGACAAGATTGACATTTTATAGCTGCATCTAAACAACTTTAAACATACTACTTTGTGATTTTTCAGTAAAAGTTTATAGAGAAGTTTTTCTCTACCGTTGTAATTAATAATAATAATAATAAAAAGTGTCTCATTAGACTTGGGAGAAAAACAGCCATTTTTACTGTCAAAAATGGAACAAATTTAACAAAATGTCACTGCAAAAACACAAAATCTTACCAAGTACTTTTGGTCCAGTTTCCAGTGCAAATATCTTAAATTAATGTTAGGAATCATTAACTTAAAACAAGATTATTTGTCTTGCTGAAAAGTTCAAGCATACTAAGGTATTTACAACAGAAACTAGATCAAAATTACTTGGTAATATTTTGTTTTTGCAGTTTTGTTCTGTAGGCAGAAAGAAAAAGCAAATCTCGAGAGAAACTTAAAACATTTCTTCAAGTCGAATCAGTGATGAAAACATTCCTAAACAGTGAGAATCTCCCAGAAAGTGCAGACTTTATTTTTGCTCTTTGTCCTGCTAACTCTTGGATGCTGTGGTGAAATTTTCCACGAAAAAGAGAGAAATCTCAGTTACCCACCCTCTGCTCTCCGCCGCGCTTCGACAACATATTTCTAAACGCCTCGAGCTTTTTCGTAAAGTTTTGGTAGGAGCTCATCCTCGGTGTGCAGGATGCAGCAATCACCAGGAAAGCAGAGTGTGAAGCAGAAAGCAGCACTTGATTAAATCCCACTTATGTGAAACTGAAATTCGGGCTTTTCCTTTTTGCGTCAAAGTGCAGAAGAGCAGATCGTTTTACACCGACTGAAAGGGATTGTTGCAGCTTTCTGTGTGGAAACATGAATCACAGTGAATATTTTCAGTTAAATTCATAAAAACTGATTTTATTGGAAGCCTAAATCATAAAATACTTCCTCATGCTTCTGCCTCAGGATGTTTAGGACCAGAAGTTGCTTTAAAGGTCATGTGAGAGCAAAAGGCCAAAAAGCCATTTTCCCTTTACTACTCCAAAATAACCTACAGGGCCACCAAATCTATGTGAAAAAAAATTTAAATATTAGAATTTACTAATTAAAGGTTTGAAAATTGGATAATTTTCCAAAATGGAACCAAAAAATGAGAACGAGAGAAAAGCAGAGAGTTTTCAGCCTAGTAAAACAAAAGCAAAAAATATTCTACGGAACTAAATTGGAGCCATAAAGTTTGTTTAAAAAATGTAAACGGAAAAAAATGTTTTGAGGCCGTAAAAAGTTACAATTTTCTTCTCAGATTCAAGTTTTTTTTCACAGTGTCAAAATTATTTTTTAGTTTTCAAACTTTTAAGTTTCACAAATTATTTTTAAACACCTTTTATCAGTTTAAAAATTAACACTTAAAACTTTCCAGTTTCAAAATTATTAGATTTTCTTTTAAAATTAGAAAAAACATTTGAAATCAAAAAACCTGATTCTCATATTGTATCATTAGTTATTCGGCAGCTTCAATGCAGAAGTTATAGTATGGAAACTCCAAAACTGTGAAAAAAATTTTTTTTTTTTAAAAATTTTTTTTTTTTAAATGACATGCTTCTTTTTTTGGTAAAAATCTTCAAGCGGAGGATCAACGTTGGAGTTTCTTGATGTTTAGCTTCAAATTTTCCAAAGCCTTTTTCAGAGGTTCTTCTGACCTCTTGTGGAAAAACCTGAGAGAATTTCCAACATTTTTCATTAGGAAACAAAAAGATTTTATTTACTGGCAATTTCTTGCCAGTCAGGAGGATAATTATAATAATCTTTTTAAAAATCATCATAATTTCTTCTGGCTTGTTGGAGCTTGCTTTCTCTCACTTCAGTCCAAAACACCTGGTTCAGAAGAATAGTTTCCCTCATTGAACAACTGGACCTATGAGTCACTGAAGCATAAAAAGCTTTTGGACGAATCAGCTTTCAAACTGAGCCACATCCGTGGATTCATGCCCACAGACTTTCACATCCCTGAGTGTGTGGGCTCCTGGACGCTGCGTCACTCAGTGTGGGCAGCAGAACCAAAATCCAAACAGGGACCCAAAACTATTCATACCACCGCCAGGTTTTATTCAATTTCTGTTCAATTTTATTTCCTTCAGTTTATAAGAACTGAAGGAAAACTTTTCTGCTTTAAAGGATCTGAAGTCCAGCGGAGAAATTCCCAAAAACAAAACATTGTGTCAACAAGCAACAGAGTGGCGCCTCCAGCGTGAGGCGGTGCTGAGCAGCTTCAGGTTCTGACTGGTTCTGACTGGTTTACAATGAGCTGAGTCAGCTGAAGACACCAAATGCAGGTGAACAGAGCCTGGTTCTGGTGAAGGTTTCTTCCTGTTATTAGGGAGCTTTCCTTTCCACTGTCGCCATATGCTTGTCCATGAAGACGGATTGCTGCAAGATAGTTTTAAAGTTACTTGTTAAAACAAAGCATTTTTACTAAGTTGTACTTTTTAGCATCGGCTTCTGCTGCTCTAACATGAATTACATTTTTGGATACTCACTACATGAAGAACATATGAACCAAAAATACATACGATTTTATATTTAAAGGGGAAAAAAAAGTTTTTTTGCTTGATTTAGTAAATTATATAAATTATTTTTATTTTGGTCTATAAAATGCAAAAATTTCCTCATAACTTCACGTTATGTGGACATAACTGATCAAATTATTCATAATTTGACATTTTACCAAATATTTTTTCACTATTAATATAACTTCTACTATTTGATTTTGAGTAAAAATTTCTCTAACCGGAGTATAATTTGTGGAGGATCCACATCCTCATGTAGGTTGGATAGAAAACAAATTGAAATAACATTCTGATTCAACATTTTTTTATTGCAGCGTTTTGTTTCCAGCAGGTTGTGACCCATTAAGGACGACGTCTGATGGCTCCAACAGCAAGAAGAGAAAAACAACCGCGTTGTTTTCACAAAGAAAAAAAATAGTGTCACCAACTTTCTTAATCACAATTCTTCATTCACTGCAAAAACAGAATCTTACCAAGCATGTTTGGTTTTGTTTCAAATACAAATGTCTTCGTAGATTTAAATTAAGACAAAACTAAATAGTAACTTAGTTTTGTCTCATTTCAAATATATTTGCATTAGAAACTAGAACAAAATGCTTTTGTTTCTGTGTATTTGCAGTGTTTTTAATCATCTTTCAGGCGATTTTACATTTAGTCTCAAACAGTGCAGAAATCATTCAATTTTAGGTCAAATCGGGGGTGTCCAAAGTGTGGTTCGGGGGCCATTTGTGGCCCTCAAACTGATTTTGTGCGGTCCCCACAATTGCAGTTCAAAAACAATACATATTTGTCCAGTCCAGCTCCGAGGCCTGAAGCAGATGAACACTTTTTACTTGTAATACGGTTCAATTTATAACCGACATAATTTCCTTACGATGAGAAGTGTTAAATATAACACAAAGTACTTATCTTTTCATAAACACATTTTTGTAAGTCGCAGAAACTTCTACCAGTGCAAAGCCGACTTCGTTCCAGCTTTCATCAAATGTATAAAAACTTGGCTAAATATAGTGAACATTTTCAAAGAAAGTGACCCAAACCCTGTTCTTATTCCATGAATGAATTAATTAAATTGAGCCAAAAAGAATCTGAAAATTGGACATTAGTCTCAAATTCCTGAAAAAAAAAAACAAGAAAAAAAACCAGCTAACAAAACAGAAATTTCTGAGCTCCATAAATTGAAAATCTGCCAGGAAAATACTCAAATTTTGAAATTATTCTAATTTCAATTTTTTTTCTTTTTTCTCTGAGTTTCAAAAGTCAATTTTTTTACCTTTAGAAATTTGTAGACTTTCAATTTCTAAAAGTTAATTTCACTTTTGGAAATATTTTGAATTTCAAAAGTCAAAAATCTTCCTCCTTTCCACATCTTTTTCTAGAAAACTTGAGATAAATCTCAAAATGTCTTGAGTTTTTTCTCACAAAAGTTCAACTTTTGGAGCTTATACACTTTTTTCCCCCAGAAAACTTCTCAGATTTTTGGGGAAAATCGGATTTTTTCTCCCATCTGTTCGAATGTCGTGATCTGTGTTGGGCTACAGGTTTGTGCTCTTCGTTGTGTTCTCCTTGGCCTGCCGCAGGCCGTACAGCCACTTGATCACTCTGGCGTTCTTCTCAATGACAGAAACGCCGTAAGGAACCCGATCCGCCACCTTCTGGGCCTCCTCTTCCTCCTCCTCCTCTTCCTCGTCGCCTCTCTGGGAGGCGCCGCACTCGGACCCGGGAGCGCTGACGCTCCGGAAACGGGCGAGCGACACGATGTCCGAGCTGGAGGCCGGCAGGTCCTGCAGGTCGACCGGCTCCAGGCCGCACAGGTTGAAGAAGCGCTCCAGCTCCGTGCCGGCCCGGGAGAACCGGTCGCTCATGTCCGACTTGGACCGGGTCAGAGAAGGTCGCTTTCTGGAGCTGGAGGAGGACAGCCTGGTGATGGCAGGGGACGCCGGTGCCGATGGTTCAGTTTTGGGAGCAACAGGTGCCGCCGTTTTCTGGAAGCAGAGCCCAGGGCGGGATGTGATTGGACGCAGAGGAAGCTGGGAATGAAGTGGGACCGGCTGGAGCGGCTGCCGCAGGTACTGCGGCGGTCTGGAGCCCGGCCGCACCGGACCTGCCTGGGGCATTACGTCCACTCTGCGTACCGTCCCAGCAGCCTGCGCCCCGGGACAAACCGGACCATCCACTGTGGCAGGGGTGGCCGCTTTTAGCCTCGCTGTAGTGGCTGCGGCCCAGTCAGGGCGCGGAGGCGGCCGCGGCTTCACCTGCGGCGCTGGAGGTTTGGCGGCGCACTGGGGTCCATTGGGCAGATCATTAATGAGGCTGCTCAGGCGCTCCAGGTCCAGCTGGACCCCCTCTGGTTTGGGGCCGGGTTGGGTCGGGGTCTTCCTGGTGGGCCGCAGCGGAGTGCCGGGCTTCAGCAGAGGCTTCTTCAGCTCCGGCGCCCGGACCGGCTGCTTCTTGGACAGAGCCACCTGACTCTTTACATATTTGGCCTTGTCCGCCTCCAGTCTCTCCACGGCGCTCTGCCTCGGGGTGCTGGCGCCCGACTGGACCCGTCTATAGAAGTCTGGACCCAGCGGACCCTTCGGTCGCAGGCGTGGAGGAGAAACTCCAACGGCAGCTTTCAGCGGCTGCCTTGAGGGATGTTGGAGCGCCTCCATTGGCATGACTGAAGCTTCCTGTTTTCACTTTGTGGCTTCCTGTAGAGGCCAGGTGATCATCATCCTGCCATGACTAGGAGGGGTGACCTCAGCTGACCTTTAGCAGCCTGACATTTGGACTTCCTGTGGACATCAGAGGGGTCAGTCACTTCTCAGTAAATAACGTCAATAAAACATTTATAACACTTTTCTGATACTTTGGACGAATACAAACTCCACCAAAACACCCATTAAAGCAAAAAATATTCAGTTTCCTCATTTGAATATTATTACTGTTGCATCATATGAGTTTGAAGAAATTTCTCTGACGTGTCTGCTGCTAGCATGTGCTTCTTATAAAAGAACATTTCCAAATTTGACTTCCAATGATTCAGAAAAAACTGAAAAAACGCCGCACCGAGCTACAAGCCGCATGGATCAAAGCGTGAGAAAAACGTAGCGGCTTATAGTCTGAAAAATACAGTAGATTGTATAATTAACTCAGCTGATACTCAGCTCCACCAAGTGTTTGCTAATTTCTGCTGGCTAGTCTGAAGGAGGAGTTTCCAAACTCAGAGGAGGGGAGTGTCTCTAAGGCAGAAAAAAACAAATCATTTTGCAAAGCTAAATGGTGGTAATTTTTGTGCCTATAATGCTCATTTCTGAGTTTAAAATGTTTTTTTAAACTTTTTTTCACGATCGTTGATGCTTTTAATTAAACCCAACCACGGTGATTCTTCTGTGTGAACAATTTAAGACCCGCATGCGCAGAAGAATGTTAACGTCACAGCAATACACTGCAGTCATTCAAACTATGAACTCGGATTTCTTCAGACTTTCTTTCAGGAACATGTCGGCCATTTGATGAAAGAGAAACGACCAGCTCCACGAGGCGTCAACGGATTCATGTCTATGGCTGAAACTCTTAAAAACAGTGCAGAAAATCTACTTCATTGTGCACAAGGCTCCTGCTGGTCGCTGATTGGCCCGGAGGGAATCCAAGTGAAAGGGAGAAAACTCGGTCTGTGGTTGAAGTGATCTAAAGCGAAACTTACACAAGTTGAGACAATTTACAACTCCAAGTAGGGGTTCCCCATCCCAAGTTCAATAGCTGGTTTCTGGCTAAAGTCTGACTTGGAACAGCCGTCCGTCTTAACGCAGACAAAGACACAATAAAACTGACACTTCATTTGCAGCCTGGCTGTGAAAAGAGACGTGTCTGAGGAGCATCGGGACAGCTGTCAGCCAAGCTATTGTCTGGATCACACGACCAGCTGCTGCTGCTGCTGAGGGAACAATGACTCCTCCTCATCCCCCAAAAACAGCCTCTAAGGTGAAGAAGGTCAAGAAAAGTCCGTATCTAATAAAGATCAAGTGTGCAACTATGCAGTCTGCCAGTTATTTTCCTGACATGCTTGCCATTCCAGGCTGAGCTGGTCCAAGGTCCTGCTGGGAAAACCCTCCAGGCCTCACCTGTCTCAGCGAAATGAACCACAGCAGCGGAAAAATATAATTAAAGCAGCAGGCTGGTGGGTTACAAAGCAGCCAGGAATGTTGGAGGGGGTGGGGAGAGTCAGAGGAACAAAAATAGAGCCACTAATGTGATGTTTCTAAGTCAAGTCCCAACATGCTGCTGGGCTGCAAACATGAGGAGAGACAGGAAGCAAAAACAGAGGGAGGCATTGGAGGGGAACGCGATAAAAACGGCCCTCAGGTGGATCCGCCTCCGGGCCTGTAAACGCTGGAGTCCAGGCCTGACAGGATTAAGTCGGTTTTAATTAGGACGCAGGTAACTTGGCGGCTTTCTTTCGCTTTTTGTCCTTTAAAAACCCACCTGAGCGGTGAAGAGCGGAGCCGCGGGTTCCGGGGGTCCCTGCTGAACACAAGCCGACTGGAGACGCTGATCCTCCGGCATGAACGTGTCCGAAACGAGCGTTTACCAGCGCGACAACGCAAACCTGTTTGACAACTCATGTGTGCTGGCCGAGGCCCCGCCTACCCGGCTGATTGGACCAATCAGACGTCTTCAAGGAAGTAGCCCGAAGGAGGCTCAGGTCACGTGACCACCTGATTGTTTTTGATTTCTGAGCGAGAAGATAAGCCTGTAATTTACTGGAAAAAGGCTTGGTTCTTCACATAAGGAGCAGAAATAATAATAATAATAAAAAAGAGTTTTAACAGCTTTCAGCTGATGAGATTATTAAATAAAATCTAAATGATTTAATCCAATGAGGAGATTTTGCTGCTTGAGTTAAATGAGAACAAATCTTCACTCAAACTGGACTCTGAACTGTACAGCATATATTATTACTGCTGATAAGAGTCAGCAGGAAACTGTGCCAACTTTACCTGAAAGTTATCCGGTTGGTGAGATAAGGTGACATTTTTTGACGTCACAACATGAAAAATTTAAGGAGCTAAATTGGGTCCAAAAATAACTAAAAAAAAATAAAATAACCCATGAAGCTGGAAGAAATTTCCCCTCCGAGCCGAAACTTATTTCTTATGATCAACACTTATTTATTTTCAGTTTCAAAATGATCTTGGTTTCAAAAGTTTCAATTTTGAAAGTGAAAAGTTTTTCAACTGAAAAATAATCTTGAAACTGTACTTTAGGTTCTTTTTTTTCCTTTCAATTTCAAACTTATTTTCTCAACTTCACGATTATTTCAGTTTCAAAAAGATTATTTTTAGTTGCAAAATTACTGTTTTAAAATAATTTTGTCTGTCAGCTACAAACCTTTTTCCATCTTACCTTATTTTTCAGTTTCAGAGCTCTTTTTTCAGATTCAATTTTTTTTTTTACAGTTTATGGCCCTAATGTAACTCCATAAAGAATCGCTTGACTTCTATTTGAAGTGCTTACATCTCACTGACATTTAGTGTAAATGTATAAACCTTAGAGCAGTTATAGCATTTTCAGCATCCCATAGAAAAACATTATCCACTCATGTTGCAAAGATTCAGCATCTTTCTGTTTAAAAACCTAAAAATAAAATTATGGTTCTTTAAAGATGAGAACACATTTCTTTAGTAGATATTCATCAAGTCTATAAGTGGACTTTTTCAAACTATAATGAAACATTTTCCACCTTAAACAACTTTTATTTAAATTTTCCTTCCACTTTACAGTTACGCACTAGTCCGTGATTAATGTAACGTGACAAAATAAAAGCAAGAAATCAGAATAAAGACAGTGTGAACAGGAATATAAAGGAACATAATGTATACATAATTGCAGTTAAAATTGGGGCTACTCTGCAGTTAATTACTCACAAGAATAAAAAAAGACACATTAACACAAAAAGTTTTAGTCAAATTTAATCACAGAAAAACAGCCGAGTGTCAACGTGTCTTTCACTTCACTTTATACAATGAACAGTGGTCTACAAAGTACATATAAAAATAAATAAACTTTCAAAGACAAGAGACTTTTTCTTTTTTTAAGTTTCTTGAAGGGAATTTTAGTTTAATTTGTAGCTCAGAGTGTAAGATAATGTTGGCACAGCAGGTAAAATATTTATATGTCAGCATGTGGGTGAGAAACCAAACTGCAGATCCCCACTGAGGCGTTTTTAGACATCCAAAGCATTATTAGGGAAAATTAATTCATGTAATCGTTTCCAGAGAGCACATTTTGAGATATTTCTTTCAAAAATGTGCAGCCTTTTGACCTTTTGCCACATGCAGTGGTATTTTAAATGCAGGAAAACATCTCAGCAGGGTGATAAAGTGTCTTTTTTTCCTCTCTTAGCTGACTCATGTGTGCTGCATAAAAACTGAGAACACACAGAGGAGGAAAGGCCTCATTTATGATCAAACCTCTTTCATGATCCTAATGTTAGTTTGTGGCCTTAGCAATAAAAAAATGCCTTTCAGAAAGTGCAATAAAATGCTGGAAATACACAGACAGCATTAACTGGTTCAGACTGGAATTACAAACAGGTATTTTTCTATCTGTACAGTCAAAACTAATATTAAATAACTTTGTGTTTGTTCACTTTTATGTGCTTTAGAACAAGTGGGGAAATTTAGTCTGCCCATATTTGGTTAAAAACAGATGAAAGAGGTTTGTTATGCAACTAAATGTAACGTTAAAGAGCAGTAATGCGTCACTGTGGTCTGTCTTTATAACAAATGGTCACTTCACATTCACCACCCACAGGTTTCATTCACATTTTCCCACCGACTGGTAAAGATGCATCAAAGCCTTAAAATAAATTAATCTTTTATTGCAGTTGCATCGAATCTAACTTAAATAAACTGTCCTGCCAAAATATTTAAAGCCAACTTACTACTTGTATGAATTTAAGACTTTTTACGGCCTTTATGTTGGAATTCAAGACTTTTAAAGGCCTTCATTTTAGAATTTAAGACTTTTTAAAGACCTATAAAGAGCAGACGTTGATCCTGTTGGCCAAGAGGGTTGAACACAAATTCAAAATAATTATTTCTTGACATGAGATTTTTTTTCAAAACTGACTAAATTAACTATAACTGTGCTTGTTTTTCATAAATATTCTCATTTAAAGTGATCCAGCTTCAGAAAAAGATTAATTTATTTATAGGCTTTGTATGTGTATGTCCACTGCAAAAACACAAAGTCTAAAGTATCTTTGGTCTAGTTTCTATTGTAAATATCTTAGTACACATGAAGACAAAACTAACTCAAAGTAACTTTTTAGCAAAATATAGGAGAATTTTTTAAGTCCATAATGAATTAAAATTGATAAAAAAGTTCTACTGGCAGATTATTTCTCTAATAACAGGAAAAATGTTTTGTTAGTGAAAATCAATAAATTTTCAGGAATTATTTACTCAAAACAAGCTCCTATTTCTTGGTGAAAGTTTACTTCAAAGTTAGTTAAACTTGTTTCTAGTGTACTAAAACATTCGCTCTAGAAAGTTCACCTGAAATATGCGGTAAGATGTTGTGTTTGGTTGTGTTTTTGAAGCGTAACGTCACATAAAGACCAGCAGCAGAAGCATGAGGCTCTGAGGTGTAATCCGTTTCCCTCACTGTGTCAGCAGACAGGCTGTGGTTTGACACATCCTCCTTAGAAACCACCCTGCAAAATCACAACAAAGTATTTCAGGTCGAGTTTCTAGTGCAAATATCTTCATACACTGGAAATACAACAAAACAAACTTACAAGCAGTTTTCAGCAAGATACAGGAGTTTGTTTTAAGTCAATAATTTCTTAATATGGAGCGATCTACATTAAAATCTGTATCAGTCCCGTTATTGAAGAAACAAATCTAGACTAGATATTATGTCTATTAGGGCAGATCTATTCATTCTAATTCTATGCATTACAATTTTTTTTTTACATTATATTTATTAGAATTATTAATTGCACTTTCTGAACCATTTGGAAGGTTTGTTACAGTTTATTTTTACGTTTGACCAAAGTCGTCAACTTATAGTTTTGGTCAGTTTCGGTTTCTTTGTCGTTTATTTTACGTTGGTTTTTATCCCAGTTGATTGATGAATGCAAGCAGGCCAGAAACCACTCCAAAAGCAGGAAGCATACAACAGCACAGGGAATTCTGGGTAATATAACCAAAATAAATCCAGTCTAATGCTGGTGGGAGAAATGACTTGTGGTCTTTTACCAAAGACAAAAACAGAAAACCTACAGCTGCTAAAATCTGATGCCACTCAATCTTTGTGTAGCAAGAAGGAGGAAGTTATACTGGGTGTTTTCTTCAGAGGTTTTTGCGTTGTTTCCTTCGGTAGTTCCTGTTGCAGCGCCCCCACAGGTGAGGAGGGGAACAAACCAAACAACAGGGTTTGGTTTGTTTGACACAGTCCACCGTGAAATCAAACCACAGCAGCTGAAAATATAACAATCACCCAGATTATCAGGTGTGAAAAACGTTGCAAGTCAATTCAGTCCTGCTTTTCTGTATCAATCGATACTAAACGACCCATATCTGTATCAATATCTGAAGTGGAAAAAAATGTATCTTTGAATTATTGATTAGATCAAGCCCCGGTATTTTGCTGAAAAGCTACTTGTAAGTCAGTTTTGTCTTACTTGAAGTTTACTCAGACATCTGCGTTAGAAACTAGAGCAGAAATACTTGGTCATATTTTGTGTTTTAGCAGTGAAGGAGGAAGAACGGTCCGTAGTTTACGCCGTCAGCTTCAGGACACGGCGCAGTTTTTATCTTTCTCCTTTGCGCCCTGAGCTCGTCTCCGCCGGATGCTGCCTCTCAGGCCGCGGTCTCTCTGCTCCTCCAGAACTTCCTCGGCCCGCCCGGCCGGGCTGTTGTCGGGCTGCCGAAGCTGCGGCGGCAGAGGGATCCGCTGCCCCAGAAAGAAGCCTTCCTCCTCGGACTCGGAGGAGGAGGAGCAGGTGGAGCAGCAGTCCTCGTGTTTGTAGGGTCCCTGCTGGAGGCTCAGGGAGGGGATGCTGCAGGAGCTGCGTGCGTCTCTCCGGCTCTCGGCCCTCAAGTCCAGAGTGTCGAGTCGGGGTCTGTCGGACCGGCGCCGCTCCAAACCCGGAGGGAGGACGGGGTCCGAGGACGTACGGGAGCGGCCCCAACCGCGCTTCAGGTGATGACGATGATACGAGGAGCCGTCTAAACGTGAAAAAGGGGAGATTAAATCAGCCTGTAATTAATTAATCGCTTGATAAATTAAAACAAGCTCAATAGTTTCAACTTGAACTATTTATCGTTTTCTTTCTCTCTTTCTACCAAAAACTGTATGATAAAAGTCTTCAGCCTGGTGATTTGGTCTCATCCAGTCCTGTTTGTTTCAAGGACAATTTTGTTTACAGAAACTACATAATTCATTTTGTTTGTTTATTTATTTTGGATATTTAATTTCTTTTTAGTTTCAATGTCAAATATTCGTTAGAGTTTAAAGTTTATTAACATTTGTATTCTTGCATTATTAAGCCATTAAATGCTCCCAAAACAACAATATTAGGATTTAATGCTATAACCGGGCTAAAATTAATCAAAACCTGCTAGAGATGGAGGAAAAATAATAGATTCTATAATCACATTTCCTAATCCTGGGAATTATGCATCAATTAAAAATGCTTAAAAATTAATTTCAGTTTGATTGAGTTTTTGTAAAAAGATACTTTGAGAATAAATAATAAAAATGCATTTAGCACCTAAAAACGGACTCTGTTCATGTTTCCTCCGCCATCTTTAATTCTGTATCAATGGCAACGTAAGGATGACCAGCGGCGCCCTCTGCTGGATGGCAGCCAAACCACAACACTGAAGGTTATCAGTTAATCGATTGGAACACATTTTAATCTAATAAATCATTTATCAACAATTAATATTAAAAAATTTTTTAAAAAGACATATTTTGTTGTTTTTGTAGCAAAAACATGAATGTAACTCTTTGTGTCTTAATCCCAATAAAAGCCCTGAAGTTGTAATTTGACCAAATATGAAAAGTTAAAAGTTATTTTTAGCAAACCAGAGGTACATCTCAGGGATTCTGCTTACCCAGTAGATCCATCTGTGGTGGGATGCCTCTCTGAAGATGCAACCTGCTTCCAAAACCCCCCACCTCACCATCGTCATCCTCGGTCTGCTTGGTTTCCACGGTGACTTGAAGCCTCTCTTCCTCCTCATCCTGTTCCTCCTCCTCCTCGTCGTCTTCCTCCACAGAGTAGCTGCTGCTGATCGGCTCCCTGAAGCTGACTCTGGCTTGGCCGCTGCGTGTCAGCGGAGGAGGCGACTCGGGGGGCTGGTCCTTCCGATGGGACCGGGACAGACGGGACGGGGACAGAGGGGGCGAGTCCCGCGGCATCAGGTCCCGGGACTTAACGGGCAGAGGAGGCGGGAGGACGGGGGAGCTGTCTGATGACGGAGGCGGCGTGTCTGAGGAGAAAAGAGGCAATAATCAGAGAACAGACCAACAAGAACAGGAAATGACTGAGATCAATGATAAATATTGTCAATTTGAGGGCATTTTCAAAACTACAATATTATGAAAATGAACGATAATTAATCAGTTATTATCACTACTAATAATAAATAATTATACCAATTATATAATTATTATTATGGTCATATAGTAATAATGTTATACTAGTGTGACTAATATTTAAATATTTGCATTGTGTCTAAAAATTACAGCTTTTCAATAATGTTAAAGGAAAGTATCTTTTATTATGCGATTAATTGATTTATTGCTGATTCTGACGTTGTTATTAGAGAACAAACTAAAGGAAAGACGTTGCATACATTTTTTTAAAAAAGGAAGTCATTCAGTCTTTTAAGCCGCTCTAATTCATAGAATTGTTTTAATTTCAGAGGCATTTTAAGTATCAGCCGCCAGTTTGCGGTCATGCTACATTGTCTCAATTAGAGTCTAGGTTGGACTTTGGCTAGGCCACTCCAAAGCTGGAGGTGGATTTGAGCCAGACTTTCTAAACCTGAAGGTTCAGTCTGATCCTGGGAGGAGGACAAATCCTTCCTCAGTCTCCCACTGGGTTTCTGTTACCTTGCATTGCCTGATTTGTCTTTTCCACCCAGTTCCTGCAGTCTTTGTTGGTGGAGGTTCCTCTTGAATTACGACCAGTTACTCCAGTATTTCCATTCAGCTCCTCCTGCAACTGGACACCAGTGGCTGGCGGTTTGACGCTGCTGTCCCCTGGCAGCAGACTGTAATGTGGAACGTCGCTGGGCCAGCCGTTTCCCAGGTGAATGTGAGGCAGAGGCGAGTAGGAGCCTCTTGGATGAGGATGGCTGGTGTGTGATGGAACCCCATTCTGAACTGGAGCGCTGCAGTGAAGCCCTGAAGGAAGCAAATCACATAAATATTTAACAAATAGCTCATTTTCTCACACTTTTATACCTAATCAGCCATTTTCACCTCTATTCTCCACTGCAGTGTGAATGCAGTCCTGTGCAGGAGAGTGTTTGACCCCCTCTAGTGGCTGCAGAGGGGAACTGCAGTGCATCCTCTCCGGCTTCCCCCACTGCCTGCCGTGATGGGGAGACCTGCTCTGCAGCGCCGAGTCACAGGAGTCCGAGTTGTCGGGGTCGTCGCCCAGGGAGCAGGACCTGGAGCAGAAGATGAGGCCCCCGCGTGGGAGGAAGGGCCGGCCGAGCAGAGGCAGCCGACAGCGGGCGCAGCAGAAACACGACTCCACCGCGTGCCAGTGCTGACCCTCGTACGTCATCTGGCCTTGATCGATACCTGAGGAGAGACTTTCAGGTCACTACCTGCTGCATTGATAAGTATTTTCTTTAAAAATTAAAGATAATCAGTTTTGTTAGGCATTAGAGGAGGCTAGGGTTGGAATGATTAATCGTAATTAATCATGATTAATCAATTTTGAAAAAAATCAACAAATTTAGCAATCAATTTTTAATTGGAAAAAATGAAAACAATAATAATAATAATGATGATACAGATCTTTGGGCAATTAAATAACTTAGAAACAACATAATATGTAGGAGAAAACATAAAATACAGAAACCCTTCAGCTTAAAATATTACATTTTCTGAAAAACAACAAGCTTAGGGTAGTAATAAGGTTAAACCTTTACATTTATTACATTTAATTACCTTTTTGGATCAATAATATTTTTGATGACGCTTTAAATATGACGGGATGCATAAGCTGACATGAGGATGTCAATAAACATAACACCTGTCATAAACAAAGGAGTCTACATGAATTTATATAACTGTTTGGTAAATAATGACACTTAAATGCAAAGTACCAACTTTGCATTAAAGTGTCATTTACTGAACAGTCATAGATATTCACAAAGATGCCTTCATGTTCATGACAGGTGTTATACGTTTATGACAGTGTCATAAAGTGCTACTGTATTTTTGCATTGAACTGAGCAGAACTGCACTGCACCTATTGACTCTCCGCAGGTGTCGCAGTATTCTGCATACAGAGATTCGTAGCAGGAGCAGCAGTACGGTCGGCTCTCCCTCATGATGTAGCGCTGACCGCCCAGCGCCGCCTCACACTCAAAGCAGCAGAAGTGCTTCATGTGCCAGTACCTTCCTTCTGCCTCCGTACACTCGTCTGCTAGAATGATCTGGAATAAAGGGTTGGGACAGGTACGTAAACAAACAAACACTGACAGTTTGGGTAAACAGAAACAGGAAGTGGATTGCAACCCAGTGCCCTCCACTTGAGCTTAGCCTACAGAACCGCTGTGGGTCAGATCCTTTATCAAACTAATCTCTTAAATCACAGCGAGCGGCCAGGCGAAAGAGACTAACAGATAAACCTTTAGATAGATTTAATGAATGAACAGAGATTAGGTTAGTGAATTATGATTACGATCAAATGGATGTTAGGCTCAAACACGTTTCGCCCCAGGAAAATTCAAGCTGTTCTCAAGCATTTTTAAGGTTTTCAAACTTTTCCAGGACTTTGAAGATATAAAATGCAACACGATTCAAGTTTATTACTGTTATTATAGAAACTTTATTTGATCATATTTTGAATGTATTGATGCTTATTGATATTCTCACGGAAGGAAACCATTTCAGTCAGTTTTTCTTATTGACTGAAATTTATCATGACAACCACAAATTTCTCTGGAGCTAAAACGATTAATTGTGATTAATTAATTGTTGAGACAATAAATTAATGTTGTATAAAACAGTTAGCTTAAGCTTAAGCAGTTAAATGAGAAATCTGTGGAATCTGCAATATTTTTTCCCGATTTATAGGAAAAAATCAATTAATCGATTGCTAAAATGATCGTCTGTCGCAGCCGTAATCGTGTGAAGAAACATTTCTTGATGTGTGATAAAGGATAAACGGCCACCTCATCGCAGGCCTGGCAGCGGGGCTTCAGCCTCTCGGCGTGGTGCCGGCCGCAGTAGATCTGCCCGTCCTGGAAGAAGTAGATCAGGTCGACCAGCAGCTCGCTGCAGGACGAGCACTGGAAACACTGGGGATGCCAGCAGCTGCCGTGACCTGCCCGGCTGGCAAACACAGCTATGTCTCCGCCACAGATCTGTCTGCCACACTGGAAAAACAGATGAGGTTGGGTCGGGTGTGGTGCAGAGGGAAGGAAGTGAGGTGGTGCATCCTTTAGCAAATGGAGAGGACTCCGTAATTTGCTTCTGCAGCTCTGTGATCACTAACTGTGTGAGGCTGCAGCCTCCAAGCGTTACCTGCACATACACGCACCTACGCTTAGCGTCAGCCTACAGCGCTCTGATACGTTTTAATAAGCTTTCACATCTGTGCATTAATGCTGGAGAAGGAAAATCTTCGCTTTGTATAGCTCTGGCTATGAAATGTGGTCATGATATAAATGTTGTGCACCTGCTGGCAGATGGCTCCGGTCATGGTAACAGGGAAAGGTCTGACGATGCCTCTGCCCAAGTTATCTCGTTTTCTCTGCTGGCTGAAAGAACGAAGTTCTTTCTTCTCCTCGTCATTCAAAGAGTTGCAGTACTGAGGCTGCGAGGAAACAGAGAGTACTGGTAGAAATGTACAGATTTATGAGACACTTTTTGTCAGAATGCAGCAGCTTTACAGACTCAGTGATCAGCGACACTTTTAAAGATTTTTAAAGGATTAATACACAGTTTGATATTTCAAAAAACTCAGATATAAAACAGAGAGAAAGAAAGGATGGATGGAAAACAATTGACGGATGGGTGTAATTTTTATATTTTCCACTCGTCTTCCAACCAGAAAAGTGTTTTTTCAGTCTTTTTTCTAAATTCAGATTCAGTTTTGAAGCTGCTTCTGCAACTCTGTGTGTTCCAGAGCTGAACAGGTGAGTCTCTGACCAGGTGAGTCTCTCTGCCTGTACTGGAGCCTGTAGTCATGTTACCTCGCTGTCGTGAGCCGGAAGCTGGTGCAGCAGCTGTTTGATTCTGTATCTCTCCCCCAAACTGTTCACGTAAGGCACCCTGTCTTCTGGCAAGCAGCTGAAATACTGGTACACCTGAATCAGGAGACATGTTTGTTCACAGAAAGGCAGAAATGAAAGACTAAAGGCAGCAATTTACCCACTTACAAAGCAGTTTATTATATTACTGCTTATCAAATCATTTGGGTCTGTGTACGAACACGTCCAGGTGGAGGAGAGCATCTGAGTTTAATTTATATCCCGTCTCTGACCTGTTCAGGCTTGAGCCCAGGTGGGACCCAAGCGTATTCCTCGGAGGCGCATCCCGAGTCGTCGTCGGAGATGGAGTGCCTCTGGAAGTCCGACACCAACTTAGTCATCATCTTTTCCAGCTGCCCTGGCACCGACCGCACCGCATGCTCCTCCCGCACACACTTGCAGTGCACACAGATCTTCCTGTGGAGACGGAGACGGTCTTAAAACTGATTTACAACCAAAGCAGAAACCTGATCAGATGTTTCATTAACGTCAAATGTTGCTTCAAGTACTGAAATGCAAGAAGCAAAGTTTTTGACGCTTGACAAATCTTTTATTTATGAGTTATCCAGTTACTTTCTTCTTTGCAGAAACAAAAAGAGAAATAAAACTGTATTTCTGCTACACAGAGTTTTGCTGGGAGATAATTTGTCCCCAGAAATTATTGCAATAAACAATAATATTGTGGTTTTGAATCAGTTCTCAAGTAATATAACAATAATGAACACATTCTCAAAGATCAATAAATCTTAATTTATAAGAAACATTAAACACAAGATATTTTAAATGTCAAAAATAAATAAGCAAAACAACTAAAATGAACTTTTTCTGTGGAAATAACTGAACTTCTTTTCATTTATCATATGTTAAATTGATTTATTGGTTCCACGTCTTGAATTTTATGGAGTAGACAAATATAAAATTACATTAAAATGTTTGCCTGCATAAATATTTATCCCGTGTCAATCTTTATTAGAATCTTTATTAGAATTAAAACTTTTTTTAAGTTACGACCGCTAATAGTTTCACAAATAAGCTGACAAATCTGAAAGGCTGCAGAAAGGCAACCCCAAAGTATCACACAGCCGCCACCGTGTTTCACAGCTGATGCGTTCTGTTCAGAGTGTCATTTTAGTTTCTCATCACACAAAGTGTTTTGTGTCGGCCAAATAGTTACATTTTATTCTCATTGGACTGGGTTGTTTTATTTCTATAGTGCATTTTTAAGAATAAAATAATTCATAAAGTTTCACATGACGAGAAGAAAAATAAAACGAGCCAAAAAATAAATAATTAAAATGCAACGTCAAGGTAAGAGAAAATGATCACCGGTTGAAACACTTAATGATTTTCCACTTGTTAATTGAAGGAGAATTTTTGTGGCCTTGATTCAAAGGAACTCCGTGTTTAAGCATGTCTGCAGTTTTCTGGAAGTTTGTTCCAGGTTAGGGGCACATGAATGAGTTCCTCTAGATCTTGTTGGGACATCAGTCCTTTAATCCTGGAAAAATTCTACAGGTGATAGAAGGCTGACTTTGTAACGGTCTTTATGTGGCTGTGAAGGTTCAGGTCTAAGTCTTGGGCTTTTGCTTGGCCTTATATGAGGATTCTTCTTGACACTCTCTAATAAAAGCAACAACAAATCAGATAAACCTGTGCTGCACTTGTCTGCATCTTTTATTGAATTATTTATTTCAGAACCGGTCCCAATAAAATGTAAAGTTGGTAGTTGATCAACACTAAAATGTCAGTGAATAAAAATATCTTAACAAGGCATTGCATTTGCTCAAACTGGAACAAATTAACCCTCTTAAAGATTAAGCTTTACTTCCAGTTGCTAAAACAGAGCCAAACAAAGAAACTCTGTAAGTAATAACAGTTTCTCATCGCAGTCATATGTCACTCCCTCTGCTTTCAACCGTGTAATTTACGAAGGCACCAAGCAGGAGACGTTACGTCACAAACCCAGCTCAAGCATTTTTTCATGCTGACTAACTAAGACCTCCTGCTGTCAGTTTGAACGCAAGTAAGCAAATCTCACAAGAACACAACATCCAGATAATTCACAGGAACCTCTGTTGAGTTCACGCCCTCCTCAGCCAGACATCTTGCAGCCTCTGCATCAGGACCAGCACATCTGTGACAAGCAAGCAGCAAAACCAGGTCACCGACATAAACCCGCCTGTCAATCCGGGACAGTTCTAATCTCCCTCTCCCTCGTATTGCAACCATCTTGCCCTCATGCTGCATCGCGTTCAATCTGGAGGAGGGTGTTACTGCGTGCTTGTGTGTGGGACCGGTGGAGTCAGAATGAAGCGCCCGGGGCTGGAGGCGATGCGTGGGTGTGACACTGTGTCCATACGCAGCTTTTACTTTACGTTTCTGTTGTGATTGCGTAACAGCTTGCCAGCTGGTACTTGTGGCTCAAGTTCATACAGCACAAAGCTGCTTTATGTGAGCACCCATCCCCCAAGGAGCCAAAAAGATGGTGACCCAAACACAAGACCACTGGTCAACTGCAGATTACCACTCCTCTAATCAATGGATTTATTTACAGTGATCTCTTTTTGACATGCCAGTGACTCCTGCTGCGGGAACTAAATGCTAAAAAGTTTAGAAGGCTCTAATCAGAGGTATTAATATGGGACAGAATTAATCGATCATTGAGTTAATCTAAATTTGATTGATCTTATCGACTAAGGATAACTTGATAAGTGGTCATGTTCCTAAAAATCAACATCGACGATCAACCACCTGTCCAAAACACGAGGCTACATTTTTCATATGCTGAAAAATAATTTAAAAAATATTATTTTATATAAAATCTAACAAAATGTTAACCTCTTAGGCTGCTTTAAAAAATAAAATATATGAAAACAGAGAATGTTAAAACGTTGCTTCGTAAAGTGAATTAACTCATAACAGCCTCAAAATCATCATGTTTTTTCCCATCATGTCAAATTTTCTTTGTTTTGTTTTTCTGCTCTAACAGCTTTAATTTTTGGTTGATTAACTTGATGCTGCTACTAATATAAAACTTAAATATTAAACTTATTTTTCAAAACGAACCACATAAAGAACGTCTTGAACTCCATGCCCAGTGGCGCCCTCTTCTGTGTGGAGTCCAACCTATAACACTAAAAGCAGGTCTAAGCGGCCGTCATCAGTTAATCGCTTCATTTTAATCTAATAAACCATTAATCAATAATTAATTGAAAAGCTGTTATTTTTATATAGACAAAGTTTTCCTGTTTGGGATCACAACCCTGAATTGGTAAAGCCAATTCAGTTGAGTTGGCTACATGGTGCTTAGCTACCAGTTAAAGATCTGACATTATGGGACGTGGTGGTAAATCAGCCAGTTACACCAGTAGCATTGCTGAACACTGTAAGCAAAGACGAGGCAGGTGGCACCATCACCTGGATCCAACAGAACCAGAGAAGAGTCCGAAACTATAAAGGTATCAACGTCAAACATTATTATAACACCAACTGTCCCTTTGTTATAAATATCAACCTGTTAATTTCAGTCATCCTAATTAACCTTCAGCAGGTAAAGCTTAATCAGATTTAATGCCAGACAATAAAAAACACTATGTCTTTTTAAAACGTAAATATTTAGTGGATGTAATATTTAGCACTGCAGGACAGAACTTGAGCTTCACCAATCAATTGTTCAAATCCTGGAATCGGCCAATTTTACCTTTGACCAGCAATATTTTTTCCTATTTGTTAAATTGCTTCAAAAGTAAAAACTTCCACCATTTTCAGTCCATAAAAGCACCAACCATCAGGTCCCTCTGTACAAATGAGATCAGACTCTCAATTGGGGCTTATCTGGTTAAATAAACAAAGAATAAAAAATAATCAAGCACACAAATAAATAAAAATAACACCCATTTTCCTCAGTTCAGAAAAGTAATAGGTAACAGCTGGTGAAATAAATCTTAATATCTTAATTCCTTCATTTTGTTGAATACACAACAACTGCATCTTTAGTAAAAAACTAAATTGGCAGGTCGGGTACTTATATTGGCCAGGAAAAGCCTGATTAGTTTGTCTCTAATGTTAGCAGAACACTCCACTTGGTCATCATGTTTACCAAATTTTGTGAGATAATAAAGTAACTTGGGATTAGAAACATCACAAACACATAGTTAAGACATAAATGAGCTTTTATCTTCAAACGACCGTCGCCTCAATAGGTAATTACTGTTGAAGCATCCAGTCTAAGTTTGTTACCTTGTGTGACAATCATGACCAGTTAGTCCCATCCAGCGTGTTGCTGCCGTCCATCCTGACTTCTCCTGATCAGCTGACTCTTAAAGCTCTCTCTACCGTCCAGTTTCTGCGTCCTGTCTGTGAGAGGAGGACGCGCTACGGCAGCTCCTGTCCAAGTGGGATCTTCTCTGAGTGAGCGTCTCTTTTCAATGTCCACTCCAACCCTCCCACCCTCCTCTGTCTCGTGTGGGAGAGCAAACAAATGGCTCTGACTCACCAGGTACAACCACCCATGCCACCCAAAACCCAAACACATCTCAACTTTTTACGAGCAGCAGCAATTTTACTGACCGATTCAAAACTGGGAAAGCTCAAGTAATCGGCTGAGGTTTCTACATATTTAGAGTAAGTCTTGAAATGTTCAGTCGCGTTAGAAAATAATAAGAGTGAAGTCACTGTTTTTCCTTTTGTGACTAAACTGCTGCAGCTGATTCACAACAGATGGACGACTGCAGCTTCAGTGCCGTTATTAATCATACAAATAAGAGCTGCAGATTTTGAGCCTGTGAGCAACGCCGTTCTGTTCGGCATCTGTCGCGTTATGAGATCAAGATGGCCAAACATGACGACAACATATCTCTGGAGAAATATTAAACGGCCCCTGGAAAGTCACGACAAATCTCTGACATCCACTCAGTGAGGATTAAAAACCACAGAGATAATGTCCGCTTTCATTTTAGGCAAAACATGCAATAGAGCTTTGAAGCGGTTTTTTTTTTTTTTTTTTTACTTGTATGAGCACAATTTAAACAGATTGTCAACAAAAAAGAAGTAATTTGAACCAATTGTCTGATGCTACACTGCAAAAACACAAAATCTTATGAAATAAGAAATGTAAATAAAAAAACATGAATAAAATGGCTTATTATGTCTCTGTAAAAAAAAATCACCTTTTAAAAATTATTAATCATCAGAATGGAAATTAAGGAGCTAATTTTAATTCATATAATTAATATAATGCTTCTTGAGACACTTACAAGTAACTAAATATAAGAGCCTGTTTTAACAAACAAAAAACAAAAAGGCAACAGAAATCAGTCATAAGACTCCTGTTCTGTCAGCGGCACCTGAAAGAACCATTCAGTCAAAGTAAAACAACCACTGAATAAGAGATGTGACCGAAACACCAAATCTTCAGAGCTACAATAAGCATAAATAAGTTTGTAGTCGTGATATAATAATATTGACTGAAATTGACTAAATCCACTGGCAGATTATTTGACTTAAAACAGGAAAAATATCTCATTAAAGTGAGTTCATTTGCTAGTGGAATTTATGTTTTTTAATCAATAGCAAGGAAATATTTACTTAAAACAAGCTCCTATATCTTGCTGACAAGTTACTTTTAAGTCAGTTTTGTTATGTTAAGATATTTGCAGTAGAAACTGATGAGTTTATGTTTTTGCAGTGTAGTTATCCTCAATATTTCAGTCAGTAAACAGTGATAAAAATCTATCTGAACATCCAGCGTAGCAGCTACATAATAATCATCTAAAACTGAGACAAACTGCAGGGGGACGACAGTAAATGCGCCTCAGATCTGGATCCCAACAGATGGGCTTTGCCCCTTTAACTCCCCGCCACTAATAAGGAACGGACTAATTGCCACATGGCGACTGAAACTAATAGCTCCTGCTGACTTTGATCACTTTTGAACCATGGTGGGGGACCTGTGGGTCAGCGGTAACTCAATTCACTTTCCGCCGGGCAGCGGAAGCACCATCTGCCCCCCACCTCAGATCAGGACGTGTCTGGAAAAGCCCGGGATGAAGATGGATCGCTTCCCGCTCAGCCAGCGCCAGCAGCTGAGCCTGTGGTCTGCCGGAGGATCTTCTCCGCCAGCGAAGGTGTGACTCTCAATTGATTATTAAGGAGGATGAAATTAGAAGCAGACTCTGAGGTCCTAAAAACTGGCCCCCATCAATCTCAATCACTTAATAACGTTCATGTGGCTCATTCTGCTGGATCCGACGTGGCTAAGCGGGACATTCGTCTCTGTCGTTTAACCTGAAATTATTTTCTAATCTGTCTGTAATGCATCATGAAACAACATCAACTGAAAGTGCATTATGTTAACCATGGAGGTGGAATATAACTGTATTAAACTGTTTTATAATGTAAAATTATATGTATATATATTTATCTCTCTTTTTTTGTTTATCACTTTCTTTGGCTTTTACTGAAGAAGCTCTAAAAAATTATTTTAAAATTTACTATTTGTACCAATTTATGACAGACTAATTTATTAAAATGTTGTTAAATTACATTATTTTATATATAATTTAATGTATCTTACCAGAACATTTCTAAAGCAGAAGGACAATTTTACTCACTTTTACAACTGTGAATTTTCTATCCAGCTCCTAAAGCTCAATAGTTTTTGAAACTCCCCTTTCACCCTGAATATTGCAACTACAAGTATTTTTTTTTACTCTGCAACAGATTTGCAGATCTAGAAGATAAATGTTTGAGATGAACACACTCAAGCTCAGACAGGATTTTTCTGTATTTACCTCCGTTTATTTTACGGGGTTTCAGCAACTCAAATCTTAATTTCTTAAAAGAAATTTTAAGAATTTCTTTAAGATGCACAGACAAAATGCAAATAAACAGACGAGCTAATGGCCAAGATGAACACGCAATAAATTTGAACTTAGTCATGACGGAAGTAAAAAAGCTAATAAGCTAGCTAACTAGTTAGCGAGGTTAGCAGCTAGTTAGCAGTAGCCACAACTGCCTCAAGTCTATGTGCAACTCAGTGAAATAATCCTATTCAGATCTGCGATTTACGTTTTAAAGGTCAAACAAGATTTTAAAAAAAAGAATTTAAGGACGTACTTTAAACAAGTTTAAGACTTTTTTAGAATGTGTGAAAACTGGATTTCCTCATAAGTTCACTCTAGTTACTGATTATTGACTTCTAAAACTTGCTGGTTGTCCTGGGTTTTATTTAGGGGTGTCAGATTAAAAGTGGTTCACACAAAGTATTTACATAAACAAATAATGAATGTTCTTTTATGTCAGAATTAAGAACTAACTAGTGTTTGGTCAATGACATAAAATCCAAGCTAAATGAATTAATGTTCTTGAGAAATTTTCGGGTGCATCAATACTTTTGTGAAAGACTCCAAATATACCATGATGTTCAGAGAGCGGCAGAGACTGAAAAACAGTCAGAGGGCGGTAAACATGGCGGCTTCCACAGCCTGATCTGGCTAATCTGAGTGACAGGATCAGATTGCCCACAGACCCAACCAGCTGGTTATACATTAAAGGAGCAGGAAAAAAGTCTGAGGGAAAACAACCAAACTTCACATATGGCATAATAGTCACAGGCCTGGAGTGACTAACAGCTAAATAACAACAATAAAGTACAAAGGTCTTCAGCCATTGATGTTTTCTGTTGCTTGAAGTCACAAGTTTGAGAAGTTTTAAAGTCTTTTTTACTTGTCTTTAGATTTCTTTTGGTATTTGTAACCAGAAAAATGTTTTTCTTGCTAAGCATCTGGATTCTGACCGATGAGTTAATTAATAAAAGGCCATAAAAACTAACCAGCAAGATGTGAACAGACAGAAAACTTTGCAAAAAACATGCTTCAATCTGGGCGATGCACCTTTGTCTCAGAGTGTTTTTTCAATCGTTTTATCGTTTCCCATATTGCTGTTATGTGGTTTGTAGACCTTTTTAGTGCTGACACATTCAATTTAGTCTTTCAATTTCCATTTTTTTCAAACAGTGCATAATATTGAATTACAGGGCAATGCAAGGCCTGCAGAGAAAACAAGTTGGGAAAAAAAGTGCAACAAAAACCTAAAGTTTTACAATTTATCAGGAGTGCACAGTTAAAACTTATGTAAAATATTCACAATGAAAAAACAAAAAGTTCCTCCAATTAAAAAAAAAACAGAGTTAATCCTCTGAGGCCAAAGTTTCAAATCTTTCGAACCTTGAAATTTTCTGATTAATCTCCAAATTTCGCATTTTTGTCAAGCAAATTTTTAACTTTTCAAAACTCTTAAGTGTTTTCTAAAAAGAGTTTTGAGATTAATCTCAAAATGTTAGTTTTCTGGCAAAAATTTACTTTTCCTTTTCTTTTTAATCCATCTGTATGAGCATTATATTACTTATGTTTAAATTTGTACAGATCTGATCTATTGACTGTTTTTATAATTGAATGGCAAAAAGTAATTAATCTTAACAGAATTTGAACCACAACTAAACCACTTTGAGAGTTTTGGGCTGAACATATTTACAGACAAAGTTTTGTCTTTTTAATTTTTTTTGTACATTTTGGATTACTGATCTTAATATGCTTTTTTTCAGCAAATTGCCTTATTTTCTTGAGTCTCTTGACTCCAGTTAATGATTAATCGATATTAGTTGATTTCTGCAGCCGATTAATCGCAGTGACAACATTTGGAGCAGGTTTTACCTCCAGCCGTGGACGCGGAAGCCGGGACACTGATCTCCGCAGCGCATGCAGGGCTGGCCTCTGTCTGGGTCCTCTTCTTCCTGCTTCAAACACAACATGAAGTCGCTTTAGTTCACATCGCTCTTCCTGATCGGAGCTCTGCTTTTCCAGGAAATCGACAGGCAGCACCAGCACAGGCGGCGCTTTGCATGATGTGATCAGAAAAACAGCCAGAAGCCGAGAACAGACGGATTTATTACATTTTCGCTTTTGTCAGGGGTTTAGCATTAGTTTTCTGCCAAACAATTAACATAATAAATGAGGTAGATGAATGGCTTTATTACATTCACCACACACTTTTCCCACAGTAAGATTCAAACAGTTTTCGAACTTTTCCAGCACCAGACTTTCAATCAACTAAGAAAAATGTTTCTCTGTCTTTTACTATTACAAGAAAGTGCTAAAAATGTATTTTAATAGTATTCTTAATTATACAGCAGGGACAATGTGAACTAAAATATAATAAAATGTTATATTTTGAAATGCCTTTCACTCACAGTACACACCTGACAAAAAAACACTAATTTAGCAACAACAAATTTAGCAAATAGAAATAATTTAAATAATTCCAACTAACTAAAAATATGAGAAGTTTGAGCTGATTTAACTTCAGGTACTGATTAGTTTTTTATTTTATATATCTACTTTCATCTGCAAGAAACGTTTTGTAAAGTTAGCCTTATAATCAAACGTTAGATTGCACTTGATCACAAAACTAAGCAGTCTGAATATCGAGCACTTTCAAGGATTTTATCCTTGAAATCAAGCACTTCCTGAAGTGAATTTCAAGAATTATAACCACCAAGACAAACCCTGAGCATTTAAACTCAGATTATATCAGTAGATCAAACCTCCAGGCTGAACTGTGCGCTGAATTAAAACAGACAAAATTGCTGAGCTTTGATACTA